TCCAAGTGAGATTGAGTTATTAGTTAATCAACAAAATACGGGTGATTCTGAATCAAGTACTTTATATGATTTTGGGGCACCTTCAAGGGTGGAGAGCTGTTCTAGCGGTTCCCTTATTACGCCAGAAGATTTGGGCCTAATATCTTCAGGATTGAATAATCAAGATGATGTTACTGAAGAATTATTTGATCAAAGCGTCAGCATGCTCCATGCCGCTGAAGATCAGAGTATTGCGTCTGAAGATTACGTTACGAATGCTTCATCTGATCATAGCATCAGCATACTCCATGCCACTCAAGACCCTGGTATTGCGTCTGAAGATTCTGAAGACGTTACGAATGCTTCATCTGATTATAGCATCAGCATACTCCATGCCACTGAAGACCTGGGTTTCGCTTCTGAATCGAAGCAAGTGCTATCACCAATCTTTCAAAATTTGAGCGATAACAGTGATGACGATCCAGATTGGGTTCCAGTGATTTCGCGGCGGAGGCGGAGTTTTTATCCGTTACGTAGCCAGATTGAAGAACATTTGGACTTCGATGAAAGTATTAGGTCGCTGTCTGTGCAAGATTTGAAGAGAAACAGGAATTTATTTTTAAAACCACGGAGGATCTTGCCTTTGCTGGATGATGAAGATAGTGATAGTGATGACAATGTTACTAGGGTATCAGTGCCCCACAATATTGATGGTAATTCCTCTGCTGTACAAAAACCACTTCCATGCACCGTTAAAGAGAACAAAGAAGCCCGCGTTGCCGGTAAATCGTACCTTGGGTATAAAAAGTTAGCTAACAAATGGACAGCGTGCGTTGAGAAGACTGAAAGAATTTTAAAACCACGTTGCTCACACACATGTTTAGCTCCAAAATCTAAAAATTCTTTTCTTTGTGCTCTTGTATCCGACGAAGAACGTGAACAGATTCATAAACATTTTTGGAAGCTCAGGACTTGGCCAGAGAAGATGGCGTTTATAAAAGCATTAGCAGTGAGAAGGTGTATAAGACGACGACGTACATCTCAACAAAGGTCTACAAGCAAAAAACAAAGTGGCCACGATATCTTCATCAATAAATTGGACGCAAAATGCACTAGAGTGAGAGTGTGTAAATTATTTTTTCTTAATACACTTTGCATCGGAGAAGACAGTTTTCGCCGCTGGACTAGAAAGGTTGATACTTTTGAAGAAAATATTGAGGAACAGACTGCCGAAAATACTGCATCAAGTTCAAATATTATTGCTAGGCCAGGAACGAACGTTGAGTTGACAAGAACTGTTAAGACATGGCTGGATATTTTACCAAAGGTGCCGAGCCATTACTGTCGTTCTAGTTCGAAAAAAATTTATGTTGAATCGACTTTTCGATCTGAACTCCACATGCATCAGGTTTTTAAGGAGTGGTGTATAGAAAACCAATTCAGAGCTGCCTCTAGAAAGACATTTTCGAAGGTAATGACTAAGGAAAATATCAGCATTCACCATCCTCGCAAAGACCAGTGCGACACGTGCTGTAGTTATAAAACTGGTAACATTTCCAAAGAAGAATATGATAGCCATATTTTAAAGAAAATTGAAGCCCGTGATGCCAAAAAGAATGCCGTAGCTAGTGCAAACGAAAAGGTTGTGGTTATAACAGTGGATGTTCAAAGTGTTTTGCTTGCCCCAAAGCTATTGGCTAGTGCATTGTACTACAAATTAAAATTACAATGCCATAATTTCACGGTTTATAACGTTCTATCTAAAGACGTAACAATTTACTTTTGGCACGAAGCAGATGGTAATGTGACTGCTAATGAATTCACAACTTGTTTAATAGACTACTGTCAAAACCTGCCAATTTCCACAGAGCGCGTGATCATCATTTCTGATGGATGCGGGCACCAAAACCGGAACCGAATTTTGTCAAGTGCGCTAAGCGATTTGGCGCAAAGAAGGAAAATTTGCATTGAACAACTTTACCTGGAAAAGGGGCACACTATGATGGAAGTGGATAGTGTGCACTCCACTATTGAGCAATACATAAAACCACCAATATTCGCTCCCAGTGATTATATCACCCGGATAAGACAAGCTCGACCACAAAAGCCCTATGATGTCAAATCCATTCACTATGATTTCTTTCTAAATTTCGAAGAGATGGAATCGAACCTAAAATCCATACGGCCTGGCAAAAAGAAGGGAGATCCTGTCGTGGTAGACATTAGAGGTCTTAAATATTTATCTGACGGCTCCGTATTTTATAGGCTAAGACATGTCGACGAGTGGTCCGTACTTCCACAGCGAAGAAATAACCAAAGAAACGGTCTGGTATCTCCAAACCGATTGTACAGATCTCCGTTAAAAATTACTTAGAGCAAATTTAAACATTTACAAGAACTAAAAATGGTAATAGATCAGGATTATCATCCGTTTTACAATGCATTACAATTTGATCCGGGTACTTAGGTAATGCATAATTATATTATCCACAATTATATGGGTACCTCAGAAATTAATAAATACTTTGATTTGTATCTTTTATTTTATGCAATTTTTTGATTCTACTGTTATCATAACCTAATTATTGTGTTCTGAGAAATATATATATATTTTTTTTCATTAAAACTAATAGTCTTTTATTTTTATTTTTCATAGGCATTTTTATTCAAAAGCTCTGATGTGATACGTAAAGCGCAACGAAAATCTCCTATGTGTTAATTGAAAACTTTTTTTTTTTTTTTACTATTTTACCACTTTCAATTTCAATTAACAATAGCAAACTTAAAAGCAGGAAATCATATGGCTGATACCTATATTTTTTGTTGTAGTTGGTTTCATTATATTTTTTTCAGTAGACGGTTTATATCGATTTTCTCATAAAGTTGAATTTTACACATAAGAGGTCTTAAAGTCGCAACGACGATATGCAGGGTACCTACACAATCAGTAAACAAATACATCAGGTCTTGATATTGCAATACAATTTGCGAGAGCCACGGCAATCGGGCATTGTGCTGGAAATAATTGGACTCTGATAATTATAATTATTATTACTATCCCGACAAGATTAATCCTTTAATTCAGAATACGTGATCCGATGACAGAAATCGAAAAGTTCTTCTACTGTACCTAGTGAAATGTACCTGCTTAAGATAAATACCATCAAGGTTTTAACTAAACAAAGCCTTGCTTCGGAACGAATGGGTCGGTCCGATCGGAGTGACATCACGGCCTCACAGAAAAACGGCATGAAACAACCACAGCTTTGTGTTGTGAGTGAAGTTAGTGGAGGCCCGATACTTCCCCTCCCCAATCCCAAAATCTCCTAATTCCCAAAAGGTCGGTAACGCACTCGTAACTCCTCCGTTGTTGCGGGTGTCCATCGACGGTGATGGCTTACCATCAGGTAATCCCTCTACTCGATTGCGTTTCTATAACATAAAAAAGGTTTCCATAATTTCCACCTACGTAAATATTTAGATACAGTGCGTTGTTTTTTTTTACCTAATACTGTACCTATTATAATATTCTCAGAAGCATTATGAATCAATCTTACTGAATTCCAGTAGAAATAACTATTCTGAGAAAAAATGGGTGTAATTTTTTTTCGTCATTTAAGCGGTTTCCTCATTGTTTCCAAAGTTCCAATTGTATTAGGTAGATAAAATATTGAAATATTTTTGATTTATTTGACACGCTCTTTTGCCCGCGAAGTCGTCCGCTTGGAATATTTACACCCGGTTTCCGAAAGGCCGATCAATGGTAAAATCAATTTAATCTCTTGTCAAGTCATCTGATTGGTTGACTGAATTATCAACAACCAATCAAGTGATCAATAACTTGACAAGAGATTTGACACCTAGTTAGTTGATTTTAACATTGATCGGGCTCTCGGAAACCGGGCATTAGTGACTTTTTCGATAAAAACTATCCTGTCCTTCGTCGAGTTCTAAACTATGTCTGTACCAAATTTCACACAAATCGGGTTAGTAGTTTAGGCGTGAAGATAAGACAGACAGACATACAGAGTTACTTTCGCATTTATAATATTAGTTTGGATAGTTTGTGAATTTATAATATCAGTCGTCGCTGTATAGGTACTGCTCGTGAATATGAGCCCCCAGTGGCTTGAATCTAGTCGAGTATTTCGCCAAACAGTTGCGTAAATAGATTGACTTACTGCACGGTTGGCGTTCTGGCTGGGCATTGCCTGACGCGCGACATATCGCAGGTTCGATTCCCGCGCGGATCAACTCTTTGTGTGATCCAAAAATTGTTGTTCCGGATCTGAGTGTGGTGTGTAGGTAAGTGATATTGTATGTTTGTAAACGTACCCACGATACGATATTATTTGATAAGAATAAAGATTTCATGTCTTACAAAAGTTTCAGATATATATTTATTCGCAAATATGGGTACAACACAGGTGATACAAAAGCTATGATTCCGGCCAAGATCGAACTGGCGGCCTTCTGCGTGTAAGGTAAATGTGATAACCACTACACTACCTACTAATATATGAAATAAGAAAGGTGGTAGGTATATAAAATAATCATTATAATATTCAATTTCTCATTGTTTCTGTTGTAGTGATAATATTTTGGGCGAGAAAGTCGGTAGATACTTACTAAAATTCATCTTATTGTGAAAATTTCTCGTCATAGTTAGTAACTTGAGTTTATCTCGCTCAAACAGAAGCAGCAACGAGCCTTTGTTTTATAAATATCTACTCAATGTAATGCGATTCTTACAAAATACCTAAATACTGTACTGTAACTAGACACGAAAATCTACCTAGAAACTTAAACAGAAATCTTTACTTGGATAAAATTAATTAAACTACTTACACTATGTCATACAATGATGTCATATAATATTCTAGTGTAGGTAATTAGCACTCATTTACTTAAAAAAAAGTAACAATCACAAAACTATTTCTTTAATTACAATTTTAATGAAAACAATCAACAAAATTGGGAGATGTAGGTAGGTAAATTAACAAAAAATAAATCAACCAAAAATGTCAGACGCGAACGATGTTGTCTCGATGCTGGCTGGCGAAGAAAAAGGGCGACGGACGCTTGGTTCGCGCTACCTTAAATATAACCCTTTCAAAATCACTGGGTGTAATAATATGGTATATGCATGCATGTTTATTATGCGTTTGTGTATACACTTACATTAATTGTATTCTATTTATTGTTTGTGCATAAGTAATTTGGTAGGTACGTACTTTCTTGTACTTTATTGCTCCGACCAAATTCTCACTGTTTCACCCAAAGGTTGGCTAGCTAGGGAGAATCACAGAGTTCATCGAATATACTGAGAGAGAATGCTTGTTAGCATCAAGCCTTTGTTAGTTAAACAAAATCAGTTTCAACTTACTTGCTTTTACTATAAACTTATTCAGATATTCAAAAATGTGTAAAACAATTTCGTACCTGCATTCGGGGACAAATTGTTTTAAAATGCTAAACGAAGTTACGTCCCGCGTCCACGACGCATGTAGCACTACAATTTGATAACTTAAACGGACGCTCGGTAATTACCGGAACAGAACAGAATTAAATCCGATTACCTAATGTAGTTGAAATATTTAATTATTTTAAAAATTTATGTAAAAATGGTGACATTGAATTTTATTTTATTTTGTATTTAGAATTTTGATTATTGTAATATTGTATTTATATTTCTTATTAATGTAATTGTATTTAATTTATAATTTAAAAATTTGTATGTATTTTCAAACGCCATATAAATTGTAAAGGAGTAAAGTTGAATTGAATTGAATTGAATATTCGCCGGTTATTTTATGTACTTAAATATTTTCTTTACTTTAAGTAATTGATACAATATCAACAGCGACGACGATAAGGAGACATTCAGAAAATTGTTTAAGTATGATCTGATTGCCAACATATTTTTTTCTTATTACCTTATTTAGATATATAAGCTTTTTAAATAATTGTAGGTACCTACTCTCTTCAGAACAGTACAATTCATTAAATTGAGGCACATGTAAAAGTGTACTTAGAAATAATGCATAAAGGAAAAACGAGGGCAAAAAGGGCCGAAAGAGGTCACACGTATCTCCTAAAAAGGATCATGCCGGAACGTCTTCTGGGTCCGATCTAGTAAATAAACTATTTTATTTTATTGGAAACACACGTGTCTGAATGCTAATAGGTATACCTATATGGCATGGCAGTTTGGCGCTAAGGGCGACAATATCAGAAATAGAATACATTTAGGTACAAAAAAAATTGATAAAAAAACACCAGCTATAAACAAATTCTGGGCATATTTTGTCATTTTTTATCAAGGCATTTAATAATAAAAGGGACGTTAACAACGATCAGGTCCTTAATTAAATAACTTTTATTTGAAAATTCGTGTGCCAAGATATACAAGCCCAACATGACAAGTCATATAAAGTAGGTAGATAGAATAAAATATATTATATAACCATTAGATCTTCAAGAAAAATATCCCGGAGCCATGAGGACGACCGCAGCTTATTACAACAAAAATCTCTTGTTTTCTTACCAAACTACCGACAGGTGGATATTTTCACGGAAAATCTCGACGTAATAAAAATATGTAAGTAGTTTACTATTGGAATATATTTCTACGACTTTCAGATATTTTCCGAAAGGAAGCGGCGTCGCTACATATTCCGTTGTTATTGAATTGCTTTCTGATTTAATTCTACGTTGGAGAAAACTTAATTTGCTTGGAAATATTTGGTTCATATCGTCACATTTTATTTTAAAATATGATGCTATCTTATATCTCTATATATATCTATCTATATAACTTTCTTCGAATTTTTCATTTACGAGAGCTACATCCCCTACCCCCCCCCCTACCTATATTAGGTATTTTGTGTAGAAAATGATAAAATTTCAGTCATGGTGTAGCTTATCTCTAGGTAGGTACCTTTGACAAAGCGCTTACCTGCGACGTACAAAATTGTATACGTACCTACTTTTATTTAAAAAGGAGAAGTACTAGATACTAGGTACCTAGGTAGATAGTGGCCTCTACTTAGAACTACTGGCCTAACTAGTTTCCTAGTACTCGGCACGTCAAACAAGCTTGAAGCTCGATGCCCATTAACTGTGGTCTACCTTCGTGTTTCCACAAATTATCGTGAATTTAAATTTGTAAACTTTGCTTTCCATCCGTGCGACACGTGAGCGTGCCAATTTCCTGGCATGATATCAATTTCCTGCTCTCCTGGTCGATTCAATTTCTCCATGCGTTGTTGCTAACGGTATGTCGGGATATAACGTACGTATAGATCCTGGACACGGCTTTTCAATTTATTTTCTAGAAAGCTTACGTGACTAGGTTGATTGGAAAACCATATTTTCATAGTTAGGACCTTAAGCCTCGGTAGCCAAGGTAGGTAAGTACCTACTTTTTAATTGTTATAAGTATTTCATTTCTGTTTTTAAATACTTTTATTACACCTGCTATTTACTTATTAAGGTACCCAATTAATGAGGTATGCTGCATACTTACATTAATTTCTGGGCTTTATTTTTGAGGATGAAAGGGCTGCTCTTTTATCACTGGAGCCATGAGTAACCTAGATGCTTAGATAACGCAAATTAATTGTACGTATGTGAGTAGATAAGGTTTAAATGTATAAGTGCCCACAAACCCACATTACCTATCTAGTAGTTGTATTTTATGCCCCACCTGCTTGAAAGTTCAACTGTCTTCGATTCAAACAAGCAACTATATTAAAACGGGCTGAGCGCACCTGGGCAGGCAAACCGTTTTTAATTGAACGCCAGCTCACGTGGCTTACCTCTTCAAAAGTGCCTGCTTTCCCCTCCACTCCCCTTTTCATAACATTATCAGGTTTAAGAGTATCTCCACAGATTTGAAGTATGTTCAAGAGGGGTCGCCTGTAAAATTATTCAATTTGCTCTGGAGCGAGGGTCGTTTCTAACTGAATTTGACGCCCATAGTGGCAAATTGCAAAATGTTGGCGGGAAAACGGCCTAAAGCTGAAACTATGTGAAACTTTGTTTCCATTCTCATATTAAGTATATGTAGGTACTTATCTACATATTAGTTTCCATCGTGTCCTTTAAAGGAGGTGCTTTACTAGTGACAAGGGTTAACCATCACATCATCATTTAATATAATGTCTGGGTGAGGTGAAAGGTAGTATCGGACTTTTATTGACTAAAAAACAATTCGTTCCTTCTCCTGTTGCGGGCTTTTATTGTCAGGGGAAAATCATCAAATCACTTCTCCCGTCCAGGGTAAGGCGAAAGAGAGTGTCAGACTCTTACTGACTAAAAACCACCCCGTTCCTTCTCCTGTTCCGGCCTTTTTTTGTCAGGGGAAAATCATCAAATCATTTCACCCGCCCAGGGTAAGGAGAAAGAGACTGCCAGACTATTACTGACTAAAGACCACCCCGTTCCTTCTCCTGTTCCGGACTTTTGTTGTCAGGATAAAATCATCAAATCACTTCTCCCGCCCAGGGTAAGGCGAAAGAGAGTGTCAGACTCTTACTGACTAAAAACCACCCCGTTCCTTCTCCTGTTCCGGCCTTTTTTTGTCAGGGGAAAATCATCAAATCATTTCACCCGCCCAGGGTAAGGAGAAAGAGACTGCCAGACTATTACTGACTAAAGACCACCCCGTTCCTTCTCCTGTTCCGGACTTTTGTTGTCAGGATAAAATCATCAAATCACTTCTCCCGCCCAGGGTAAGGAGAAAGAGACTGCCAGACTATTACTGACTAAAGACCACCCCGTTCCTTCTCCTGTTCCGGACTTTTGTTGTCAGGATATAATCATCAAATCACTTCTCCCGCCCAGGGTAAGGAGAAAGAGACTGCCAGACTATTACTGACTAAAGACCACCCCGTTCCTTCTCCTGTTCCGGACTTTTGTTGTCAGGATATAATCATCAAATCACTTCTCCCGCCCAGGGTAAGGAGAAAGAGACTGCCAGACTATTACTGACTAAAGACCACCCCGTTCCTTCTCCTGTTCCGGACTTTTGTTGTCAGGATATAATCATCAAATCACTTCTCCCGCCCAGGGTAAGGAGAAAGAGACTGCCAGACTATTACTGACTAAAGACCACCCCGTTCCTTCTCCTGTTCCGGACTTTTGTTGTCAGGGTAAAATCATCAAATCACTTCTCCCGCCCAGGGTAAGGCGAAAGAGAGTGTCAGACTCTTACTGACTAAATACCACCCCGTTCCTTCTCCTGCTTTGGGCCGAGGCCGCGGTGACTCATTGCGCTTATCTTCGGCTTAACCCGCAACCCCGGCCCTCCTGTTCCGGGCTGGAGCCGCAATATATTGTTACGCTTTCACGCGCAACTTAATCAATGAAATGCCTATTTTTTGTGAGGAGAAAATCATCAAACAACTTCTCTCTAAAAACACCTCCTTCTGCTCTAGGCTGAGGCTGCGGTGCCTCATTGCGCTTATCCCCGCAACCCGGATTACTTAAAATGAAACGCCTATGAAGTTAACTTCTTGCAGTTTACAATTCTGCATTTACTTACGAAAAAAAGTTACATATTGTTTAAACATACCTACATAATTAGAAATGTACATAATGTATTATATCTAATAGGTACATTATGTAGGTAGTTCTAGGTAGGTACCTACATATTATCTAAGTTACAGCTTGGATATTATGTAGGTACTTAGTTTAACTTTTATCTATTATCGACCAAGCATACCTAAATGTCAACAATTTTTTGCAATTGTTAGGTAATAGAATTAAATAAAAAACTGGGTTATGATAACCTAAATATACTTTGAATAAACATATTGCCGTTACATCCCTGATCCCTAAGAGACTGGGCAAAAAATTCCGGGTACTTGGTGTACCTACTTAAAAACTGTCACAAAATATTAAGCTAACATCTAATATTTGTCAACCCTAATCATAATCATACCCTCCGGTCACCGACAACATTTGCGTTAGTAAGTACTCGTGCTAACATCATCAATTTGGTGTTGGAGATAATTTCATTTCCCTTCGAGTTTATCGATTTCTGTTACATACACCTTGGTGACCGAATTTGGAATAATACGGTTACCTACTAGTTTGCGGAATTTACGCAATATATGTATACTTAAAGCTATCTTAATGGGTACAGGTATGTAATAAGCTACCTGCTACCTACATATTTTAATCATCATCATCAGAACAAAAGGTTCCGCCTTAGTCCGCCACGTCGAACGACAAGTTGCCACCTGCATCCATTGGCACCCCGCGACTCTTGATGATGTCGTCGGTCCACCTAGCGGGAGGCCTGCCCTCTCTACGTTTTCCGATCCTTGTTTGCCACTTTACTACCTTTCGGGCCTAATGTGGCGAACAGCGGTACACGGTAGCTTTTTTGGATTTCCACATTTCGGATTTCGTCGCGCAGAGATCCCAAGAATAGCCCGTACCAACAACGCGCACTAAGCGACTGCCCAATTTTTCATGTTTTATTACTTAATTAAAAAAAACTTTTCAATTTCAGGATCAGTCTGATGGTTCACTGTCACCCAGGGCAGATGACAAATCCAGAGGCCATTCACCCGCCCCGAGTGAAGGTAGGTAATGTGTCAATATAAATATAGGTATAGGTGCATTTATGTTATCACGCCTAGACAGATATGCAATGCCCACTTTTCAACATTTATAAATCCATGTTAATTGTAATAGCTTGGAATTTTAATTCCATTCCAGATTTGACAAATTCAGTGTTGCAACGTTATGACACGTAATGAATAGTGACGTTGCGAAATTATTCGATGTGGAAATCGAATATTTCTGAATCAATTCTTTTCGTTTATAAATTTACTCTCGTAAACTAAGTTTATCAGGAAATAAAATATTTCTGAACCGATAATTTAGATTTGACAATTAACGATCTGAGACTTTTCTTTTGTAATTGTGTGTGAAATTAATAAAAAATGTGATCATGAAGGAACATGACAAATAAAACAGAAATTTTATAAATAGTCGCAGTCTTCGCTATCGCTGTTACAGAATCGTGTCTGTGATTTTTATTGTCAATTAACATATCTAGCTTACTCATTTTTTCCTCTTCTTTGACAACATGGGATACGCATTTAGACCATTCGGTAGCAGTATTTTTTTGAATGCCTTTCTGATATATGATATGCCTTACTGATTCACTGATTGTTTATCGATTTTGGTGTTCATCACTACACTGTTATATGTGGTATCATTATTTCACAAAATGACAGTAGGTCATGGAATCGAATTAAAATTCTGACTACCTATACTTTATTATAGCTTATAGCATCTACCTAATGCGAACTTTTACAATCCATGACAGACCATAGGAATCTCAATTAGGTACAAGAGGTTTTTCACACTCACAGAAAACCGGCATGAAACAACCACAGCGTTATGTTTCGCCGTGTGAGTGAGGTTACCGGAGGCCCAATCCTTCCCCTCCCCCAATCCCTCCTCAATCCCTAAAAGGTCGGCAACACACTCGTAACTCCTCCGCTTCGGGTGTCCATGGGCGGCGCTGATTGCTTACCATTAGGTAATCCGTCGCGTGCGTTCGTGCAGCGGAATGTTGTTGAATTTAAAGATTTTAATTATGCAGATATTTAGTGTATGACGTCGTATAATTGTTTATGGTAAAAAAAAATTTGTGCACGCAACCATTGTGGAGAAATTCACCAAAAACTGATTCCGCTGGGCGAACGTTGTCCTGGCGGAACTTTTTTTAATCCATAGACTTTAGGAGAAAAGAGATGTATCCAAAAATTAGTGTGTATTTGTGTGTAATTGTGTATGTATGAATAAAACTAGTGCATGCATAAACTTCGGAGAAATTAAAGTTTCCGCTACGCGAACGTTTGGCCATTAGCTAGTTTTCATATAAAGCGCTTACATAGAGAGCTGTAGATTTTTACATACGTTATTTTGAATTTGTGTATATTTGTTTAAAAAACAGATTTAGAAAAAATCGTAGGGTTTAAAAGATAAAAATATAAACGTAAAATACGCTTATTAGGTCTTAGTTCTTAAAGTATGCACTTTGGGGTCTAGATTTTCACGTTTATACAAACCTTGTAAGTGTCTGCAACATGTTGCCAAGTATCAATGATGTTCCGTTAGTAATTAAATAGTTATAGGACAAAATTACCATGAATAGATCACTGTTTACAAAGCAGTCAAATATCACGACGTTCTAAATGAAATGCATGGTAAAATGTATGCCAATAATTAGTGTATTCATTCAACTATTCACATGCAAAATTTCATGTCATTAAATTCAGTAATTAAAGAAAAACAATTATAATACTAACGAAGCATCGAAAACCTACATAACCCGACCAAGTTCGGATGGCTACAAAAAAGCGGCTGTGCAATATATTGAGGTAACATCCCAAAATTTACAGTATAATACCGGTATTGAATTGGTACAGGTGATAACACACTTGTTGTTTCGAAATAATTTATAGGTCATTTCTTTTTGGACACCTACTTTTTTAAACGTATTTGACTATGACAGAATGTAGGTACTATTTACGGAGGTACTTTATTTAAGTATGCGCTTGAGACTTGAGATATAATCTAATTATATTTAAGACAAATAAAATTCATACAGCTAATTTCTATTGAAGATTTCACGAATCAGGATTCTAACTATAGACCCCTTAGGGAAATTAAATATTTACCACATGTAAGTATGTACTACTGTTTAGGTAAATATTTATCATATTGTAGCTTATTACACTATTTAACCAATATTTTTTATTACTCTCTATTTAACCAATAGACTAGGCATGCACGAGCCTGTGTGCGATACTGTGTTTTATTTTTTCCTAACGCTTGTTTACGATACTGTACCATATTAATAAATGCTTTATTGGAAAGTTAAGAACGTTTCTTATTAGATATATGACACGGCCGCTTTTTTGTAGCCATCCGAACTTGGTCGGGTTATGTAGGTTTTCGATGCTTCGTCAGTATTATAATTATTTTTCTTTAATTACTGAATTTAATGACATGAAATTTTGCATGTGAATAATTGAATGAATACACTAATTATTGGCATACATTTTACCATGCAATTCATTTAGAACGTCGTGATATTTGACTGCTTTGTAAACAGTGATCTATTCATGGTAATTTTGTCCTATAACTATTTAATTACTAACGGAACATCATTGATACTTGGCAACATGTTGCAGACACTTACAAGGTTTGTATAAACGTGAAAATCTAGACCCTAAAGTGCATACTTTAAGAACTAAGACCTAATAAGCGTATTTTACGTTTATATTTTTATCTTTTAAACCCTACGATTTTTTCTAAATCTGTTTTTTAAACAAATATACACAAATTCAAAACAACGTATGTAAAAATCTACAGCTCTCTATGTAAGCGCTTTATATGAAAACTAGCTAATGGCCAAACGTTCGCGTAGCGGAAACTTGAATTTCTCCGAAGTTTATGCATGCACTAGTTTTATTCATACATACACAATTACACACAAATACACACTAATTTTTGGATACATCTCTTTTCTTCTAAAGTCTATGGATTAAAAAAAGTTCCGCCAGGACAACGTTCGCCCAGCGGAATCAGTTTTTGGTGAATTTCTCCACAATGGTTGCGTGCACAAATTTTTTTTTACCATACACAATTATACGACGTCATACACTAAATATCTGCATAATTAAAATCTTTAAATTCAACAACATTCCGCTGCACGAACGCACGCAATCCGTCTGCTCGTTTGCCGACCTATTACATAAAAAAAAACTCGGCGCCAAGTTGTCTACCTAAGTAGGGAGGTACCTAACATAGGTACCCTAATATTTATGAAACACCGTAAAGTTCCCAATAAAATATTGCTCACCCGGCAATCGATTCTGTCGGTACCCGGTACCCTACGCATAGACTGATGCAATCAATATTATATAGGGGACAGAGAGACACCATAGAAGACAACTTATGGGCCACGCTAGTGAAGGATTTGCCTTCAAAAGATATCCGTCGGCAGTCAATGACTTCAAAACAAAAAATATAATCAACAGGGGTGGAGCACGACAGTGAGAGGTGATGGTCAGCCAGCACACTACTCGACCGGCTGGCGCAACGGGGCTTCGCAGCAGACACGAGGCTTGCACTACCGCCTACAGGTTAATTTCAACTCTTAAATTCATAAATTAAGTGCAAGAATCCCCAAGACTTACGCATTGGGATTTCCAATAGAAATTCCATGATTGAAACAGCATGCCCCGTTTCTGACCGTAGATCCGCCAACAGTACCTACCTACTATTTCAAATGTCCCTTCTCAAACATTGCCTTTATCGGGGATACAGGCACTGGAAAGGGTTGGTTTAGTTGCTTAGTTAGGAAACGTAAAAAAATGGAAAACTAATTTTGTTAATTCCAGGTTGTGCCCGTTACCGCGAGCTATGCTACCGTGCTGCGCACGCGCATCTACCAGAGGATGTAGCCCCACGCCCTTGCGACTGCGTCAACTGCACTTCCAGACGTCATTCAGCTAACGCCCCATGAGATACGGCTTCCGTGGCCACCACAGCCGCACTCACGAGACCCATACCCGCGCTACCAAATGAACTTATACGTAGACAATGAAATTCTCGCTATAATAATAGAGATGCACATAATGTATTTATCAAACATATGGTACTTGTGACTCCTCTGGTGTTGCAGGAGGCCGCGAGCCTAGCCAATTGCTTACTATTATGTGACGTCAGCACGTTCGCTCCTTATTTCATAAAACAGGACGGCGAACCAGTTTAGTAAAGTAGATTTTAATTCCAAAAATTTGCACAAAATTTATCGATACTTACGGATTTCATGTGTATTATTATGTTTGAACAGCATTATTCGGTTGCAGTGCACGTGGCCACTTTTCACATCACCCTTGTTAAATGGTATTTTAGTGAACTTCAGTTTTAATAATAAAACAATATCGTCAATTCTGGCAGCACAATTATCAATTTTGTAAGTAGTAAAGCCAATTTAAGTTTTTGTCCTCCACTCGCAGTACATGACGTTACGAATGTTTTTCAATAAACATTGTAAACACTTAATATTTTAGTTAGAATAATAATAGGCTTAATTTTGAAATGGTCTATCCACATAATAAAAATCTAGGCCTATGTGTGAGGCTATCTCCGGTGTCTCCCACTTGTTTCGGCCCTACTTGAGGACATTGCAACGATTATTTCTAAATTTCCTATGTCCATCACTGGGGGACATTTCGAAATATTACCTACTTCTAGCTACTAATTTTTAACTAAGTGTAATAATATCTGTTTTAAGGACAATTAGTCAATTCCATTTAGCATTTGTTGTAAATATTCGCTTCTTTCCTAGTGCCTTACCCAGTCCGCTTATGAATTTTAATCCAGCCACTAAATATCCATATGGCACTTATAAAATTCATACATTTGTAGGATTATATTCCAAATATTTGAAAATAATGTGCACATCCAAGATCGCTTTTGTAATTAAGGAAACACAACGCCTCATGAGCGTTTCTGTAAAATTCAAAAGTAAATTGTAATTATATTGTGTAAAATTTGTCTGTCCATTGATGATAGGATTAAAATTACTCTAAATGTAAGCTTTAATAAAATAATGTGGAAATTAAATTTACACAATTTATTTAGACGATTCTCTACATAAGAATTTCCGTAATACTAATTTATTATAAAGAACACGTTTAATATAAAAATCTAAGCCAAAATATTAACTTAGGTGTAATACGTAGGTGGCTATCATCATATCTATTGTCCAGATTATTGAACTGCTAATCTATAATTATGTATAATTCATGTGTGCTAAAAGTATCATGACCTCTTAATTTTAGAGCCTAATATTAATATTAGATATATTTACTAAATGTAATTTCTATATTAAAATCACCTGATCTAATGTAATACCTGTCCATCGGTGTAACTTCAAACGATTTATAATAACTATAATAATGTACATTAACTTCTATTTTATATTACATTGTTAATAATTATAAACATTAATTTTAATTACATACATTTTTAACTTCTGATCTATTTTCCATTGTACTTACCCAATGTCATTAAATTTTAATCGTACATTATTTTAATATTAACAAGGCCTACCTACGGAGTTATAAAACGTAATTTATAAAATTTGATTCATAAATAAAAAATAAGATTATTATAAAAAAAACGTACCGTCTATTAATTTATATGCCTGTATCCGAGTTATCAAGAAGTTATAGCTAAACTATTACAGAAGGAGGAAACAGACAGTCTTGTCAGTGAATTTAAATAAAACTTAAATTATATAGTATTTTTATTTAAAGTTAAAGAACATACACGTTTCAAGAGAGAAAAGTACCGACAATTGGAAGTATTTCAGAGGCCAAATGGCGCGGATTTTTCAAATTCCATGACATCATCAGAAATTAGTATTTTCTCAAACATCCAAGACAATTACATAGCGATACATAAACACTCGAGATTTTTTTCAAAATTTTATCGTAAATGCCTCTTAAACAATAATACCTATTAAGGTAGCAACATGATTTCTTCGAAGTCACTGAAAATTTTATAACCATTCCATATGGTTGACTACCCTATCTAACATCTAAACTAAATATTACGAAAATATGTCAATTTTTATTGTAACAACAAGGAAGTGAAAGCTCATTTGAACAATAACCGCGGTGGTACAAGTAGTATTCATAATATAAAATGGTCCTCATTAAATAACTAAAGTGAAAAGGTACTTTTGTTGATATTATTCTTTAAAATACATAGTCACTATTTTTACAATGTAGGTAAATCTATAGTTTCTTAAAATTATAGCCGAATGCCTAAATACAAGGATACGTCGAGTAAAATGTTAAAAAGACACGTGTAATGTATACAAGTCGGGACAGATACCTACTCTTACAATTTATTTACCTTTTATCCGAGACTAAGGCCAATGAATACATGACACGTTTCATACCATAAAGATTGACAATATATTGCTTTGTATAGTAAAATGTTCTAAACTCAAGTATGATATTACAACTGGAATTTGCAGTCAAAAAGGTCTTTGGATCGACAAACGCGTCCAATCAGTCCCACACTAAACAAATATATCCAAAAGAAAAAACTAATCTACTAACTTAGTAATTCGGAAATGTTCTAAAAGGGACGTCTCTTATTATTTATATCATCTAGTTATCGTCAAATCAATGACGTTAGACATAACGATATTGCAAGCTAATCGCGAATGCATGTCCATTATTACAAGTCAAAGAAATGCTTCAAGTCAAAAGTAAATACCTCAAAAACTAAATCGATCTAGTATCAGGCGTCCCTAATAGACGGCTTCCAATAAAAACAATTTACAAACTCAATGATTGCGTTCGTAGAAAAAAAGATATAATAATATTTTACAAGTAAAATGTACGACAATGTTTGTTAATAAACGGAGTCTCGCACAAGGTGGTTGGTTAGCCTAATTTGGTACATTAACTTATTAACTTTATATCATCCATACAGCGGTTTGTCGCTTAATAATATATATTGTTTAGGGTCCAAAGGGTGAGTTAAAATTAAATCAGTCCGCACTATCTTACGACATCTAGTGACGGTGCGCTTACATACAAATTGTATTATCTATGCGAGAAAAATAACTTTATAAACCTATCTATAATAAGATATACTATAGTACCGGAATGCAAATATAAGGCTACGTAGACTAACAAACATTGACAAGAGTAACCGAGTTTCCAGGCACTCAGAGCTCGGATGGCGCACGACTCATTCGTTAACGTCGATAGGGATGGTAGGAAGAAGCCGATGCAGTTCCGCCTGACGACGATCCATGGTAGCTGCGTTTCGATGACCGTTGGTAGCCATCGCCCGAGCCCCCCGTGTATTCATAGTCATCACCTAATGTTATAAAGTATCTGTTAGTGTCGTTGTCAATCGGGTAAGTAATGTATCACAGCAACATTCTCAAGCTTCAAATATAATAACTATAAAATTGAACTTACCGCACCACGCACCATATTCCACACACCAGAGTTGAGTAGGATCTATCATTTAACATAGGGTTTAGGACAGAGAGGCTTTTTTGTGATCTTTTAGGGTCATTTTGAAACATTTCGTGCAACTGTTAATTTATAAAACAACTAAAATGACCACATTATGGCCTTTGTATCCTAACGCCTAATTACTAATGTTACCTACGTTGAACCAGATTCAGATGCCTCCAAATATCAATTCTAATTATAGTATTAATCATTTCTACACATGGATTCAACAGAATTTGCAAAACATATTAAGATAATGATCACTTTAATCTATGTATACTTATACCTACTTGTCCGAGTACTAGGACTACATAGTTAGTGGAAGATAGACACGGAAAAAGAAGGGTAAAAACCTGAGACAGACGCAGATATGTCGGACACATTGCAAAATGACGGCTGTGGCGACACCATGCCTCCGCAATACATCATGGGGACCTGTAGGATACTCCAGGTTAAGGTTGCTTGATTACAGAATTTCAATGGTCTAAGTAAAAGTGTTTGATAGGTACTGGCTCTAATATACATTCCTTCGAGACAACCCACCTTACGTCACACGGCACATTTGACTGATATACTTTCATACGGCGACGACACACCCTTATTAATTTGAAAACGACTATTATATTACAATATGAGACTAAAAAAATGCAACAAGTTACTGACTTTTCTAGGTATGAGTGCAAGAGTTATTTTAACTTTTTAAATGTTTGTCTACAATATGCGCCATCTAGTGAATCTTGATAGAACTTCGTAGGAATCAACAACAGTGAAAACGTTCAACTCCTACATCCCGATAAGTAGTATCTGCAAAGTGCCGTATGATACAGAGCTTTAAATTTTATGCTAACTAATGAATTTTCAATAAGTTTTGGAGCCTTTTTGAAAGTTATTTGACTGCAAGAAGCAGGACAATGATAATCTTAGTAAATATCCGGAGTTTGTGGACCTGAGGTGGAGTTCCTATGGCGTCGGACATCTGCGGGACGTTCACATACTTGGGACTGCCCGCGCTACTGCCCACACCGTCGCCCTCTGCCGTACACAACTAGTCAGTTCATTTGGATTGAAAGAGACGTTAAATAATAATCCTACGAACATTCTCAATACAATGACTACAGGCAGATATTTAAAGTTAATTTTCAAGAATTTTGATAAAATCAAGATCATGTCTTAAAAAATTGTATTGCCATGCGTATACCAGCGTTAACATGGTGCCATTGTATTGCAAATATTGAATGACCAACGACACTACATGACAGATATAGGTAATATAGGAGGATAGGATAGATAGATAGGTGCAATATATATGTATGTAGCTGTGTTATAGTGCATAGAGTTGATACATACATAATAACAGCAATATAACTAATGGAAACGGCAACGTGTTGTATTTGTGTCACTCTATACTGCCGTTAGTGTAAGACTATTATGAATGTATTCATTAATGAGGATCTCTACTAATAAAAATACAAACAAAAAAAAACAAAAATTATAATAATAATTGTCTGTGAAAAGTGTACTTTCACGGGGAGTAAAGGGTTGTGATTCACCATTAAAAATGCCATTTTATTTTGAAATTTTTGATTTCTTTTAATTATCTACGTTTTATAATGTCCTTAAAGTAGATATATATTTCATCATAAGATATCTCAAATATTTGCAGTGGTAATATTAATATTTTATTAATCAACCAGTAGTTACTTAATCCATTAAGATAGAAGAAGCTTAATAATAGGAAACTACGACAAAAGTGTTTATTTCTTTCCATTACATTATAAACTACATACTTATGTTACCAGTTAAATCTAACACTAAATATATATACCCAAAATACCTAATATGAATAATGCATAATTTCTACTCCGAAAGACCTCAGTGTTATGTATGTGATAGCACTTATTACATCAATAAATCATCGCGTACAAGCTTCTCGTCTTACTTTAGTGCTTCGGTTAAAATTAATAATTAAAACCGTAATTAACTAATTATCATTAGGTAATCTTCGTAAAAAAGAAACAATAAGGACGCACGTGTAAAATCTATGATAATTTTCTCTTTTATACGAACATAAAGTAACTTATGTGGGACGCGCGAGACGACCAGTCGCCCGCGCGCCCCGCTAGGCTTCACCAAGATAGGGCTAAGTATATAGTAGATTACACATTACAAGATTACAACAAATCTAGATAATAGTCTTACAATTGTAACATGCTTAGTTTGTGGCTACTTCGCGTTCGCCGCTTCCGATTAATTACATTTTAGGAAATTAATACAAGTGTGTATAAATACAGCGCCGGCCCGTACTGGGCCGGGGTAAATTAAACTTATAGGTACTGCTGTCAGTAAACATTACTTTAAATATTGTACATCAGTCGATAGTTCACCTAACAATTTTGTTTCTAATCGATCAAAAATTATGTACTTTTATTTACTATAAAGAAAATAATAGTTTAAAAAATAATCAACATCAATTTTTTTAATTAAAACAGAAATAAATAACAACTTGCCCTAGGTTTTATAATAATTAATGTTATAATTAACTGTAAAGCCCGTGAAATTTATCTGACTCGGGATCAATAATTACATTATATTAACGTCTAGTATAAATATGAGGTTTTATATTTAATAATACCTGCATTGTTTTTAAAATAAGTTTCGAAAAGACTACAGTTAAGATGGACGATTTGGTCGTCCTCTGATATACATGTAAATGCAAATGAATTAATTTTAAAAAGACGAGTAAACAGTGAACTTAAAATGAGTCGACTGCTAATCTAACGTTTAACACTAGGGGTCTTGTATAATTAGTCAATTACGATCATAAATATATTAATGTAGACTAGCACGGCGCCGCCACGCGCCCGCCCGCGCGGCGCCGCCATGCTGGTGCGGCTAACGTTACTTTTATCATTATACCAAAATACACTTTTACACAAAACATTGTTTCCTTTATATACTACTGAATAAACATACACATATAAAAACCGCGTACACTATAATATAAAGTAATACAAACAAGAGTCGAAAGGTTATCTACGCAACAGTACTACAGTTAAGCCATGATTAAAATATTAATTATTCCATAAACATTAAGATACAGCTGCATATCTTATACCGATATTACAGAGTGTAATATAAAATGCAAGGGATGCACGAGTCGGCCGGGCGCGTACCGGCAGGAGCAGGGCGCGCGGAGTCGGCGCGGGGCGGCGCGCCCGCATGAACACCACATTTGACAGACGAGCCTCTAACGAGTCTTATCGTATTTGTATTTTGCTAACTATTTTAATTAATAAATTCATCCAATATTTTAATGCTCTTCTCCTATATAATAATAATTAAAACCCATATAAATAGTCTCAATTGATTTTTCACAATAATTTGCACTAAGTTTAATGTTGAGTAAATCTAAAATTTCTAATACATATTATACTTTATTTTAAATAAATTATTTCTTTATGTTAATAGAAGATTGCCACGTTGGTTCATTACAAACTAAGTTCTTAAATTGTTCCAAAGGTTTGTGAGTGCGGGGCCGAGCCCGTGTCTAAACACCTTAGTGCTAATTAACCGTTATCATCGAAAATAACATAATTATAAATCATCTCTATATTCACTTAACTTTTTGTAAGGCATCGTTTCCTAATATTAAAACAGATGTGAACAATTTCGTTCGTATCATCGGTGGATGTACATTAAACCTACAATAAGTATTAAAACGTAATCGAAACAATGGAACATAATGGTATTATGCGAACTGAACACGTGCGGAAGACAGCGCGCGAGCCTGCGCGACGGGTGAGTGCCAACAAATGCAACTAGTACAAAGCGAGACGAGACAGTGACACCGAAACGAACGAACCACTACCTATGCCGAGAACGATAAAAATAACCAGGAATGAATCGAGACAAATTAACCTAACTAACATAGGAACGAAGAGTTAACGAAGCGGTACAAAGCGGCACATCTACACGTAACCTAATGGGCAGTCAGGCACCGACCTCGATTAGTTTATCTTATTATTTCATTATATTGTTATAAGGTACGAGTTTCACTTCCTACATACTGATTGAGTCTCAGTCGAGTCTGTTATGTTATTATATGTATATTTTAAGAGCTATAAGAAATGTATGCGCGTTAACTATGAACATCACAATGTAAAAAGGCTTCTTCACTATGTTTTACCGTTAATTTTGGGACATCGCACCCCTCGCCCCAGACCGCTAGTCACTTATAAAATTTGCTTACACCTCACAATATTCCTCAATAGATAAATTATACTTTACTTATGGAGCGATCTTAAATAACCCTATATTCTAAACGATCAAATTATGCATTCAATGTAATCATCAACAATTCGTCTATTTAAAACATTTATTAACAAATCTTATCGAGCGCGGCGCGGCGCGGTTCTATTATTTAAAATTAAAGGAACAACTCCCGTGTCCGGGCGTCGGGCAGTCTATCAGTGACCGTAAACTCTAAGATAATTACAACAAATAATGGTCGGACGCGGCGCCAATGCGCGGGGCCGACGGCCGCGCGGCCGCTGCCGTCCCCGCGATTAATTACTTAGCTTATCACTAAAATTTTAATCAGTCGATCGGTCAAACGATTGAGCGATATAGTACAGTAAAGGACTAACATTAAATTTAATCTAACAATGTTATTTTAAATTATAACTCACTTTGTAGCGGGGCGGGACGGCCGTGCGACCGGCGACCGCGTCGGGTACATATTATGATACGACTAACATAGCGGCCGTAGCGGCCGGCGAAAGCTCTATACAGTTTTAAAAATATTTGGCAATCACATAAATTAAAACTTTAAAACTATGTGACGAGAGAATCGATTAAAATTATGCTTTACACACAAGTAAGTATATATATGTACAAATGTATGGCGAGGGCACGAGGGGTGCGCGCGCTGGCCGCGGCCGGGCGCGTCACGTACCGAACTATATCCTAAATGCTTGAGCTTCATTACTTAACACATACGACAATATCGTTTGCTCGTTAACAATTTGGCAGGTAAATTTAATTCATTAAAGTATAAATTCCATATAATAATAGTATCAACTTAAAAATTGCGATAAAAAACTAAAATGCATATAAGAAAACAAATTAAAATTACGAATATTTATACAGAATTGTTCCCTTCTCAAAAACGGGAATAATTAAAATATTAAAATCACGTCAGTCAACTATGTTTTGTTTAATATTAACACATAATTATCTCATTATATGCCTACCGTTTTCCTAAGTCTAGTGTGTGGTAAATAACCAAAATTCTAACATTAAACATACATACCGATATATATACCAAATATTTATACAAGTTATTAGCTTAAGTTAAGTTCTTTTAGGTCATTTCCCTAAATTGGCCTTGTTTAACAGTGTCTGTCAAATGTGCGTCACGCGATCGCGCGGCGGAGCGGGCGGCGGCGCGGCCGGCTCCGCGCGGCCTTGCACGGGACCGGTACACGGACACGACATTATTCAAATAAATCACCTTACAAAAACCGACATCCTACTAAAACATTCGAAATGTGTCAAGAAAAATAAATCTTTCACAAAAAACCCACATCCAAATAGAATATTAAAAGCAAAGTTAATAAAAGTGTGTACATGTAGTACACGCGCAAAAGACAGCATCGTTTAGCTATAGAAGAGGGGTCGCGAAAACTTCTGGGCGAGTATGTCAGAGTAGCGGTGCACGTCGCCGCGTCGCCCGTGTGGCCATTGCCTTAGCGAGTGTCTTAATATCATTCCTTCGTAGCGTTCAGAGACGGCCGAGTGCCAAAAGTTGCGAAAAGTGTGGGAGTACCTTATTTAAATTACTAGACAAGACGTTTAACATCTAATGGTTCTGAATGTTAATTTAAACTATTTTATATTTTACTTATTAAAATTAACGCTTAATTACGCGTGTGGGTTTGTGTTAATGTAGTCTTCGGTGACTTTTATAAATTAACTATTATAACCGCCTTCTTCACTTTTAGATACTCGCATGCAATAAATTTAAGTGTAAACTTTTGTCAGTTACAATATAATATTAATTTGTTGCATTGGATTCAATAATAACTTTCACGATAATGTAGTTTTTTCGTGAAATTCAAAAAACAAATAACTACAAATCTATCACCTATTGGGAAGTTTCACAGTGGTGTACGAAATATTCGCGTCAGTTTTATGGTATACGTTAACAAATCGGTTAAACACTAACTATCCCTATTCTCTTTGTCGTTATAAGATATATCGACTAAGTTAGAATCGATAGATGGAGTCGATCGAATGCAACCATTCGAGCACGCACTTGCATCGATCAAACGTCAAGCGGAATGGCCTACATCTACTATGACAAACACAATCAGTGTCTCACAAGCGCCAAATTACTAACACTACTCTCAAGTGCGTACTAGAAGGTAGATCAACGTCTGAGTGTGCGTCTATCGCAGCGTAACAAACTACAGAACTCACTCTACCTACCTCTACGTACCTTTAGAAAAGAATAGTGTATATTAACGTGTGAGCGATACGACTGTAGTTAACCACACTGCGGTCGTGTGTGAGCACGGCCAGAGGACAACCCCGGACGGGGGCTGTCGCCGGGCCGGCGGTGTAGTGTGTAGTGTGTGGTGTGGGTGAGCCTACGCGGCGGGCCACTCCTTGTTAAACTCGTTGGCGTTGAAGTGTTTGGGGGCGTGGTGCGGGTGGTGCACACCTGGGGGCTGCGCGGCGGGCGCGGAGCCGTGGTACTCGGTGGCGGTGTAGCGCGACGCGCCGCCGCCGTACGACGAGCCCTACCAGTCGCGCAACGTTAGCGGCGGACGCATCGAGCTGAAGCCTAAGCGTGTTCCGCTACAGCGCATCTCCTACGTGCTCTACGACGTATAAAAATATAGCTCTCTCGAGTCTACACTCGGCCGAGCTTCGGCTGCGATGCGTCCTTTAACCGTCATGGAGCATAAAATGAGGAAACTCATGATTATACATATTATACTAGATGAACGATTTTATTTCATTAAAATAAAAATGTGGCCGCATTCGTAAATGCTCCATGACATTTTTGAATAACATAATTTTGTAAATAATGTACTCTGGTTACATTTAACAGAATAGACGAATTCTCATCTCTGAACACTTAAAGTACAGCTCTTAATATTATTTTTATCGATAAAATTAACTATTAATGAACCTGTAACAATATGAGAAAATCCAAATTTTACTAATTTGTACTTTAAATGCCAATTTACAAGTGTTGAGATGAAACAAGGCGATTGAATCATCTCGCACGGCTACAAATGCAATATTATATATGATTATCGAACGGAACTAAGGGTAAGCTTATAATCTAGTGCTGTGCGATGCCTTTATGATGAGCGCGCGATATCGTCGCAACAACCGACCGTCCATAGTGAGAAATCCCCAGTGTTTCGCGACATTCCCTCATCCGATACCCGCCCTTATCTCTAATTGTCTTTCTGGAGGAGCCACTCTTGTGGGCCCTGATCGACCAACTGGAAAAGAAGAACAAGACAATAAAGTCCCACTCGCCACAATGTAACTGGATCTTTAGCAGGTTTTATGTAAGTAGCGCAGCGCGTGAAGATGGACCGGGCGAAAGCGTGTGACTATCCCCAAGGGCGAGATGAAAGTTTAGGCGAAAGGAGGACGGGAACTGAGGAGAGGCGGTGGAGGGACCGTGGAGGTCGGTGATGAGAGACCTTCAGCGAAACTCGATAACAACACTAATCTTCTTGATTTTTCACTATGGATAGCGGTGCGACTGTCAACTATGGCCACGACTGGCAGCCCTGAACAGCGCCGCGTACCATTGCTCTTATGTACCGCAGCATAGCTCGTAAAATCAAAAAGACATCGCACATTAATCTCGCCACTGAAAACATGCAGATAAGTGGGCTTCGTCGTCGCCGCGTATGACATTATCGTGATATAAACAAGCATTTCGAACACAGCACACGGATGCAGGGGTGGCATACTAATGGCTCTATACTATCAACTCATGCTGCTTTTAGCCGCGACTCCTTTGTTCGCGTTCGTGAACCAAAGTTTTCGCTGAATATCACTCGGTCACCACTACGTACAACCAACCACTTCCACTCATTCTTATATCGCAAACAACTTTGTTGCAAGTACAACCAAATTGAACTATGCGAAGTACGGAGTTCCTTAGGCATTCAAACAGTACACACACACTTCAAACTTTCTTTATTGATTCTAGATATAATTGTCGAAAAGTCATTCATGCTATCGGGCTGAGCGTTACCACGCCATACTAATACAAAGGTAGATGCAGGATACAAATCAAAGAGTAAAGCGAAGGAATAGGGATTGTGGATAGGAAGGATGCAAGCCCCGAGGTGATGAGCAAATAATATTAACCGATGGTCAACTTGGCTGTACTTTTGTGTTACTACCGTCCGTAGCTGTATCGTGTAAGCTACAGGCGAAACATTAACACAGAACTGTACCTTGGATTAAGATGAAAACAGTTGTAAACTTTTATGCCACCAAGATATGGTTCAAATATTGTTTGCGATTTCGACATTAGATGATGGAATGCGTCAAATAAGCAAAAACAAAAAGTCATCCAATATCTTGTACCACACAGTACGGGTCGCCGAGGCCATTCATGTCGAGTGGCATCGTCGGTCGCCGTTACATCTCAATCGGGCTCGTATTGTTAACTATTTCATGCGACCCACTGACACAGCTACCACTCCTTTACAATTTTACTTAGCGCTCTGTTTTACAGAGTAGCTGGCGTTATTACAATTAAAACTTTTTTGAGAACCTTCAACTAAAAATTCCATAGTATCGACAATTGGCATTTGTTTTTTTCGCCACGTCGATGATAGATGTGAAGCAAATGATGGTTTTTTTTTTTCAGCCGAAATACGGCGCTGTGTCGATTTGGGCACTGGTTATATTTGATTTGGCAAAAGCATGATATATATATGAGATCGAAAAACACATTTTTATTAAACTTTACTAGCAACGTGTACTTGTTTTGTAAATGATTCTATAGAAAACACTACACAATCCTTTTTATTATGGCTTCTGTGGTCTAATAAAGCATAAAAATGTATTTTTTACCTCAAAATGCAAAACTTCACCCAAAAAGGCAATTTCATTAGCAGTTACCATCACCGGAGCAATAGCCTAAAATTCTAAATGATGCATGCTAGGTAAAACGCAAAAAGGCACGAACAATGATCGAAGAAGTGTTTATAAAAACAATGCTACGCCAGAAGAATTCGCATTTATCTCCTGGCTTAGTAGTAAAGTCATTGTATTCGTCAACCGGTCAGTGACCCCATTTCGCCGAATATTTGAATTTATTGCCTTCGTTTGGCGACTCTTGAATTATAAACACACCTTTATCATGTATTATTATTATATGGGAAAGCCGAATCAGAACTGAAATATTTGGAATAATCTTAACACTGCCTCGGTAAGTGCCACTCAGACCTTATATTCCAATTAGAATAGGTATGTATACAGGTTTCGTCAACTTTTACATTTGTTAGATAATATTAAGCATAATTGCTTCCATAAACCAGTATAATTCGGCTGTGATTCGGTACAAATTAAAATTTCTTCAAAGTAACAAAACTAAATGGGCTAAGCAAATGAGATACTGGCTTATAGGATCAAGAATTCAAAACATTTTTATTACAAAACCATATAAAATATAATCACTTTTACATTCATATCCTAGTTGTAAGGAATTTCATAAAAATTAATTTAGTCAAACGCCTTATTAGGCTCATAGCTAAAATATATTTGGAAGATTTTAGATTACCGGTTTTAACGGTACTCTCGCCAGTATCGCAAGTACGTAAGCGGATAATTTTGTTTAACAATTTTTGATGGGTAAGAGAGCTGAGCGTGGTCGATATGTTAATCACAAATGGAATGGCTGCAGTAAATTATATTTTAAGTTGTATTTTGTTACGAGAACTTATCGAGTGAGATAATATGTGAGATGGCGAGTAGTATCGAAGCACGCTCCCTCTAGAAATAACTAGGTGTATGTCGGGTCTAGGTCTATGACTATTCTATTCGGCGTGTTGTGTGAGGTATTGTTGCGCGTGTACCTGGTCCTGCTGGTAGGCGGGCGGGTACTGCTGATAGGTGGAGTAGTCAGCAGACGAAGACTTGGACAGCGCGGCCGAGGACAGCGCTCCAGTGAGCGCGGGCCCGCCAGCTCCGCCGCCGCCGCCGCCGCCGCGGCCGTACATCTCGCCGCCCTCCGACAGCGGCACGTACGACCCTGCACAGCGCACTCACCATTCACAATCCTACATTACACAGCTGCCTACCGCACTAGCGACCAATCGGAACCACCGCTACGAATCAGACCTCTTGCGGTGGTATAAAACAATAAATTGTTAATGTATGTATGTGTATCAAAACACTAATCAAACCTTACAAGGACCTCAATGTGAGGATACCTGGTTTCCTTTACCGCTTAGGAGCAGCTGTGACAGTACAAATAAACTACGTGCAATTCTAAGTCTACCACAAATAGAATAAACTACGTAATGAATGCATAAATGGTTAAATGGGACTTGAAGTAATATTCAAGATCCGGTACTCACCGGAGCCGGTAGAGTTGGAGTTCTGGGGCATGTTCCAGTTGGTCCAGCTGCCGCCAGCTGACGCGCCCGCCGGCGCAGAGCTGTAGTTAGCTGTACACACCAATAACATCACATTAATACCAGGAACTGGCACCTGAGTGACACTACAGCCGGAGGTGTGGGTAGCGGGACTTTAAGGCCTATAGTGGACTGCGATAGGCTCTTTCAATCGACAAGTTTAGTTTCATTTTCGTAATAAACATGTCGGTTTTTGTTTCTTTTCATTTTATGAATTAATATATCTGAAACGAAGACTGCTAATTGCATGTATGATGCAACGCCTTTGGGTGTCTTCTTTTAATTATAGCCAGTTTTTTATTTTGTGATGGTTAATATTAAAGTGTTGCAAACTTTGTAGACTTTCTCATTCACAGGAACAAGAAGTATATGCAATTTGCTTAGTTATTATCCCACAAACATCTGAACGTACCATCAGTAATGTACTTGAAGGCACTGCCTGGATGTGGATATTCTTCGTACCGAGTGCTGGTCATGATTTTTTAGTTAATCAGGGGAAATGTCACCTAACCCTCCATTAGACATACGAATCTGTCCATAACAAGTTGATTACGTTAGAGGTGTGTACTGACCATAGCTGCTGTAGCTCTGCGCAGGCGTTTGCGTGTACTTGTTCATACTTATGTGTTAAGTTCATACTTCCGTATTATTACAATCGCCGGACAATCGCAGTCCACTAACGGACCTGAGTCTGTAGCTGTCGACGCTGCTGCCCGGAGACGGCCATGCTTGGCATTATAGATAGCAACAAATAACTACACATAAATTAGTCCTAATAAGTGGTAAAGATAATGTCATCGGGTGGCGTAGAGCAGACTGCAGTTACTGGGCGGCGGTCGCGGGTCGGCTAGAAGAAGCGGGACAGAGCATGCAGTGTACGTACCGTAGCTGCCGTAGCCCTGCGCCGGGGGCTGCGTGTGCTGCGTGTAGTTGTTGGTGGCGGGCCAGGCCGGCGCGTGCGGCGGCGCCTGCGGGGCCGGGGGCGCGCCCCAGCCCTGGTAGTTACCCGGCCCTGCGCCAGCACCCGCGGCGCCATAGCCCGCGTACGAAGCATTACCCGCGGATGTACCCCAGCCTTGATACCTACGCAATCGTTATTACATTACATCCAGTTTCTTTATTCATCACATTCAGAGTTCATATCTATCTGATAAGAACAGCCCATTACGTTATGAAATATACTAATGCATACAAATAAAAAATCATTGATTCCAAACAAAGCAATTACATAAGAAATGTTAGGTATAGAATAAGAGAGGGTCGATTTGAATAAGCAATTGAAATAATACATTAGACATTGAAATGAAAAAGAACTAGTTCTGACCCCTGCATGATGTTGGGGCCAGCCATTGGCATGTTGATGGGTGGGCCACCCATCTGGCCGTTATGACCCTGGATCATGTTAATGGGCGCGGCGGCCGGAGGGCCCCACTGCCCAGCTTGAGGCGCGTCGCCAGGCGCGCTCAGGGCTCCGCCGCCCATACCACTCGCACCTGACCCCAGCTTGCCAGACCCATCACGTGGTTCGGCGCGCTTGATCTCCACCTGCGTTCATACAAACATTATCCGTTAATCTATGAATGTGCTTGAAAATTAAATACGTCTTATATTAATTTGATTCAAATCATTAACAGTTAGTTGCCAATTTGCCCATGACCTAAATGTGGGTGGACTTTGCGAAACCAATCTAAGATAACGTGAGTTGTGTCAATTTACAATCAGAAGTATTTAATATCTCTATGTTCAAAAGAAAACGCAAATAAAAACGAACGACACGTAATGTACTTGAGGACGCAAGCAATAAGTTACACGCTTCTTAAATTCCAACAGTCGTTCACTAGTACAGGATAAAACATGTGTATGCATATCATCATTATATGATGACACATAAAAAAATAACTATTGTTGCTACCTAAGAGACAATATGGTTTACCTATTATATGTATATTAGGAATTCGTATAAAATATCGTAAATAATTTTATTGTATCAACAACAAAATTTGCAAAAAATAAACTTTGCTTTTATACATGAACTCAACAAATCCCAGTGATAGTCTGTTTCCCGAACATTGCTACGAAAATATTTGGCAAACAACTGATGTTTTCAAATAACGTACAAAAATAGTTACATTACCTGTTTTCCGTTCAGATTGATGAAATGCTCCTGAGTGACCCTCTCAACGGAAATCTCGTCTTCGAAAGACAGGAATCCAAAGCCTAGAACAATCGATGCCATTTTTATATTTTGAATAAAATGTTAAAGTCGCGAAACACCAACAACACATTTACTAAATCACATACATATTTTTGAAATGCATACAGATAAATAATAATTATCATATGTAACATAGGAAGATCCAAGTTATAGTCTAGCATAATACAACGGTTAAAGCTCTCCATATTTATACAAGGAATATTATTTCGTCAACGTTCTCATAACAACATTGTACCCATTCCTTTCTTTCCACGTTTTATAAAGCAATTTTATCGTATCGAAGCAAACTATTAAAAAATTGCCCAGTGATGTCCACAACCCTCAGCTCGCAACCGGTCGCACAAATCACACAAGTCATAAATTATTTGATAAAGTCGCCCCGAAGGGTGACACCTTTCACTGAGCTCACGATGGAGGTCGTATCATTTCGATTGCGTTAACCCTAGCTCGTGTTACTGTTGGGAAAGTAAAACACTTTTTCTTTAGCAAATCGTCGAACTTTGATATTCTCTAATATAACTAGTATTGTTTAAACATTTTGTTTTGATATTTAAAAGTTTGTGTATCGTATGTTAGACCCATAAAGAGATACTGCAAACAGATGTAACTGTTAACGTGTCGCAAACCTTGTAGACTCCCTTGCTCATAGGAACAAAGAGTATATGCTAATTTGCGTGTTATTGTCCCACGAACACTTGAACGCACCGACAGTAGAAACTAACGGCGCTGCCTGGATGTGGGATACTAAATATTACATACTATTTTTAAATACATATACTCTATCAAAACCCGTAGTTCTGGAAGCAGGATAATAAATTGTAAAATATTTTGTCAAACACAACACATATTCGAAACTATCAATACAATGACTAGTTTAAAATACACATTATTCAAATCATTACTAATAATATGTCTTCCCAGTTATTGGTATTTTTATTGTAACAAGTAATGATGACTTTAATTAGAACTTTGTGTTTTTATTTTAAACTAGATTTTCATCAAACTTCCCTCATAATGCGGCCCTTGAGACTAGGCAATGCCATAATAATTTTGGCCTCCAAACGTTAATAAAACTGATTTGCATAATGTGGTTTACCGGCGTTATGCACGCACGTCCTCTCACCTCGACAGCAAGCTGCGATGAACAAGCAATAAATGAAACTCTTCTGTCCCAACTCTTATCTAAAAAATTCAAGATGACGCAGGGAGACAATTACCTCTGGATTTCTTCTTTTCCTGGTCGTACATGATGACCACTTCCATGACCTTGCCATAGCGGCCGAAGAACACCCGAAGGTCGGTTTCGGTTACGTTGGATGGAAGTCCACCAAGGAACACCTTGGGGTATCCGCCACCGCGCTTCGGCTTCTGCAGCGTGCGAGGGTTGCACGGCTTCGGGTCGATGGTTCTGTAAAATTCAATTATCTTTAAAACCTGACTAAATCGATCACAATTTTTTTTTTTAAATAAACTAGACTAAGACATAGCCGTCGTCTTATTATCAAAATTGATTCCATGTCGTTGTGACGTGGCATTTAAGTTGCACTTCTGATGTATTTTGTTTACTTCCTTTGTATGTATAGTTTTATCATTTTTTTTTTATAATGGATTTGAAACTATTTTTTTTTTCTACACAACGTTTATCGCAAGTCCTACTTCGTGTCATGAAATATACAATTCATATTACTTATAAAAATATCCGAAAAAGTGTTTCTTTTTGTAAGATTTGAGTATTCTTTTCAAGACTACCTATTCTTTTTAATAGAATCCCACCTTGATAACATTACGAGACACCGAGTATTGGATGGCCAGTAATTCCCTTATCCGGGGATCACAAGGCTTTGCTTAGGATAAAATACTGAAGAGCATTTGGAACAACGAGCCAAGCGAATTACGGGTGTGGCCGCATTTGACCTGTGAACACGTGTAGCGGTAGGGGTGCGTGTATTCTTAGAATCATCTAAGGATAGTTTTAAATAAATATATCCGGTTATGAACAATATAAAACACTGGTGCAACGACTAAAATTCCCATTATTGCAAGTGACCCCGATTTCAAATACATAAAAGTCAATGTCGTTGGCAACTGTTGAATGTATAATTTATTTAATGCAGGTTATTAGTGATAGACAACTCTTGGGAAAAATTTCAAATAACAATTCCTGTTTTATAATGTTACAAAATAAATGTAAAATCCTTATTATCTAATCTATGTAAGTAATTTTTAGTGGTTAAGCAATGTGACTTCGAGCAATTCAGATCAATCTAATTAAATGATCGAGTACACTTTGCGATTTGTGCGAGTTTGTTGCATTAAAGTCTTGCGGTATAGCTATTGTATGCCGGGTACCGCTTCTTTCTAATGCCAATTGATTCTTATCCGTCTTCGTATCTCCGTGTTTGAGCTGGATTCATGTATTCTTTTATTAGCATACCTATTTTAAATACATAATTTATCGCTAGATACAGTTAAATTTATTTTGGGTTATCAGAAACTTGTCATTTTCGTCGTTGTATGGAATACTTTTAAGTTTGTTACCCTCTACTGAGTACAAAGCCTAATATTTGATCAGATGTGAAAACTCTTAATGGAGATAGAGAATATGTAAAATTTACTTTTATTTATGATACTTACGTAGATTTTACGATCTAAAGAACAATTTTGCGCGTTGTTACAGCATTTCGTTATATTGATTATTGGTATCATAAAGAGAGTGTAACTTATTGTACAATTTGATCTCGGCCCCGATGCCGTTATCTAAACAGTTAGTACGAATATGTATGTGTCACTGTTAACAAGGCAGAGATTTTTGTCGCAAACGTTGTAGACTTCTTACTCACAAGAACAAGAAGCATAGGTGTGACGTTTTGCGTATTATTGTCCCACAAACATCTGAACGTACCAATCAGTAGTGTACTTGAAGGCACTGCCTGGATGTGGACAGCTTACAAAATACCTTACATTGACCTAAAATACTAGCTAACGATTAAAGACGTTTATAATTTGTACTAGAATTTAATCACAATCACCCTCCGCTCGAGCTCTCGATACCCCAACATTGTAAACCTAAGTTTTATTTTGAAATGTATTTAATAATATCCAAGGAATTTTCATTGAAACTGTTAACATAGTTTTAGAATATTACATTTTATGTCAAAATGGCGTAACGTTAAAATTATTCGTTACATTTTTGTGATAGAACTATGAATAATGCATCGACTTTTTGTCGGTTGTTATACAAAAATTTAAATTGTCCATATATCACGTTACTTTTCCGTGAAACAAGATTTTCCTATTCTATAATTAATGCAATGAGGACAACGTAATCGTAGAAAATTTTAACTAGTTATCTGCTTTGTTAACCTAGTCGTTTCGTTTTTTAGCTTGCGGGACCTTGAAAGTTCATAAATAGGAAAATTCGTAAAGTATTAATGTACAATTAATTACCTACTCTAGAGAACAAATTGCCCAAGTTAGAAGTAAATTATTTGCTAAAAATTTATTTTAGAGAGCATGTATTACCATACAAGTGATGAAACAAGCTATTACGACTTTTAACGCGTGAAACTAAAGTAAAATAAAAATATGCTTATAAAATTAAAATAAAAAATTATAAATACGGCTCAGGTTCAAAGTCCAGTAGCTATTAGACGATATATATCACGACACAATAAATCAACAAGGCCATGTCAAAACGGTGATAGGAATTTTCTAAACTATTTCCTTAATGGTACATAAGCATGATGCGAAACGACCCCATATAGCTGTTACATGGGTTTACTTTGACAGACTATTTATAAACATTTTTATCATTTGCTTAATTACTTAAATAAAATGTGATGAACATGCGAGTAAAGTTTATTGTTTGTAGGTCACAACGACACAACCTTAAAATGAAAGCCTAATCAAAGCCGAAATGTAATTAAAAATGTACACGTTGACAGGTGAACCAGTGTTGTTTGAGTAAGGTCATACAAACAGTTTATTTCTGTTTCAAGAATTAGGTCACAATAAATTATAAGCAGATGCAACATTGTCTTTTTAGAAAGATTTTACGTTCATATTACTGTGATAGATGTCTATAACATGAGAATCTGTCAGGTTGTGACATGATTTATTATTGCGCCCGCGTTCGGGGTCAATACAGTACGGATATTAATATTTATATTTTCAGGAAAATCTTTCTGTATTGCTATTATATTACTGGAAATCTGTAATATATACGTAAAAAACCGGTGGAATTGAGAATTTTATTATGCCGAGACAACAGTCAATGGAAAAGTAGAAACGATGTAACAAAAAGCTTACCCGTGGTAAATTCACGCTATTCACACAAGTAACGGTATGTTCATGTGTCTCGTAATACTAATAGGCTTAACCTAATCTTCAAACAAGACTATTGAAGCTCGATATTCCTTAATGTTTATATTGGAACACAATTTTAACGTTTGAAGAGTGAATGTAGAAATCTTTTACATTCCTATTCATGACATCATTTCTCATAGCTATACATATTACATACATACATTTATTTCGTGCCGTAGGTCAATTCCACATAGTTTGAGAAGTATGTACAGTTAGTTTATTCTCTGAAAATGTCAGTGATAGTTTGTATTTCCTTACCTGCCATCAAGTTGATGAGGCCCGTTTTGCAGCACAACGTTGACCACCGCTGGCTCGGCGAAGGTGACGAAGCCGAATCCCCTGGAGCGGCCAGACTCGCTATTCTTCATAACAACGCAGTCGATCACATCGCCGTAACGGGAGAAGTATCGTTGTAAATTCTCTTGAGATGTCTCCCAAGAAAGACCCCCGACGAACAGTTTTCTGGGTCAAAAAGATGCAATACAGATATTTTATAGAACTAAAAAAGTAAGTTTGCCATAGACTAGCCTGGCTTGTCCACTAAGTGCCACACTGGTACTATTTTAAACGTAAGTATATGATAGGAACAGACTAAAACACACACAAGGAACAAACTTTAATTAGTTTGCTTGGTGACGTGTCACCACGTGGTATTTTTGCATGGACTACAACGACTAGTTGTTGTGCGCTTTATAATCGGGACCACTTTAAATTGTTCTCTATTCGAGTCAGTTACCAATTTTATATATGTGCCTTATCACAAACGAAAGTTTACAGTTAAAGCCAGCTTTAAACCACATCTCAAAATATATAAAAGCGAGGCGCGACAAAATAATGTGGAACTTGAAATTAATTAAGCATTGCGAAAGTGACTTTAATAATGAATTTTAATGATCTTTCAAGTCCTTTAAACACGAATTCAGTACATCTATTGAAACTTACGAATTTATTCGGTAGTCAACTACAACGGCATTAAGAATTATATTTTTTGATTAAAATGTCCTTTTGTTTACTTGTGACTAATAAGCCCGAAATAATCCCTTCTTTAGAAAGTAATAAAACGGACCCTATAAAATACTTGTTTGTGGGTAAAAAATGGAAGCATGTTTAAAGACGTTAGCGTGTCGGAACGGTGGAAACCCTGATTATAACGCAACTTGAGTCAAATCGCAACTTGTGTCTGGATTCAAAACAAGAACCTCGCAAGTTTTTTTTTAAATGATGTATTCATATCATTCCTACCTTAAGTTTGTTAGTACCACACTTACAGGTTAATCAGAGAATATTGGAAAAGACATTCTAAATGTAATTATCAAGTCAACAAAGAGAGCCTTTTTTGAGAATGGAATACAAACTTTTGATATTAATAAAATAGAAAAAATGGCAGTTTTGAAACCAATTTAGTTTCAATTTCGAGGCTGCTTACCTGTCACTGCTATCGCGTTCATTCATTTTCAGTAACTGACTAAGTTAAAAATTGAAAGTATGATAAACACAATGGAATCTATTTATTAAAATTTAGTTTAAATGCCAGCTACTTACTATATTAAATGACCTGAAAACCCATTTAGTACAAAACTCTGTTGCTATCTATATTAAATTAATACCAAAAGTCATTTTGTTAATGATAAGGACTGGTCAACTACTTAAGTGTTCACAATTGTTTTTAATGATGCAAATGGTAAACTATTCATTAAGAATGCATATTTATGTGTAGAAGATACTGAGTTAGCAAAGTTCACTAGGGTAAAGTATTCAGATTAAACTATATTCAAGGTTTCATTGTAACATAAGTTATTTTCAATGGTGAGTCAACTAGTAATGATTTTTACCCAAAAAAATATACAGAAACAGCATACTTTACATGTAAACTTGCTTAGTAAAATTATTGAACCAGAAGCATCTCCTAAAATAAATATGTGTACTAAACTTAAACCAAAGAGCATGTGCTCATGCTGCAACAACACATGTGCTTATCTGCTTGTACTAAGCCAGCTCGGACAACTCAGTAAAACTCAGAAGTCAATGCAGCCTTATAGATAGATAAATGACAAAATGAGTCACAATCTACATACAATTCTACAGTAAATATTAAATATGTGTGGAACTTTTTAATCAGCCATTTTATCTAATCAATGCTGTACTGTCATACAGTAGTCACATAAAGTTTTCCTAAAATCAGTTAATGGACAATAACCAAGTTCTAATTGAGAGTTCACTATGCACATTTACCAAGATTGGTGAAAGTATCCATTCACTTCTCTTGGGTCATACATAGTTCTGCTTGTAATTGTTTCTATGTAGCAGATTTTAGTTGTTTCTTTTTTAATTACACAATTAACTTTCTTATGCTCATTCGTTTGCATAGATCACTACCAAAATTGCATGTTTTTCAATCATAGTCAAGCAAATTTTCAGGAAATAATTCTTGGAAAGTTTATAACAATTTCATTGTTATTTAACAACAACACATTTTAAGCTAACTTTTTTGATTCCTCCTAAAACTTTAGTTCTACATTGCATTAGCTTAATGTTTGCAGTTTGGTAAGATACATCACAGACTTATCCCATGAGCATGCTTTTAATGGCCACAGTTTTTTGTGTTTGGGCGTCTATGGCCACTTATCACAAGCAGGGGACGGGACTTTACGGAAAAAAACAATCATTGGAACAAGCATCGAGGAAAATTGCTAATGAACATAATTTAACAACGCAAGTAACCATATGCAAATGAATCAGCACGTTTCGCGTCTTGTAGGTAAATGAGATCGCGCTACGCGGCACTTCGAACATTGATCTAATAACCTCATTTAACAACTCGCAATACGAAAATACCATATTTTTTATAAAATATGACGCTTGCCATGCCCTAGCGCGAAATCACCGATAAGAGAAAGCAACGATTAGTCACAGAAAGGTTAATTTTACAAATTGCGACGTTTCCACCTCAACAGCTTCTATAGTTGAAGTACAGTTATATAAACTACTTCTACATTACTTTTGGCAGTGTATTACAACTATAATCAGAGAAATTTTAACATGGGAAAGTAATAGCTGCCATGATCGTACCACGCAAGTCGCACGGCGAGGCTTGGGGTCGGTGCCCGCTAGCCGGTATAAAGTAAAAGGCTAATTGACATTTTACTGCTTATAACTATGTCATTTTACGAGAATTGACACCTTATATTGAAATCACGACAAAAATCATACTTTCAGCTAACTAAGTTGAGTACGTAACGCTGCCTCACAAGCCCTGCTGGCTATCCGTGAAATGCGACACACCAAGCGAACATGCCAGTTTGACCTATTATAGTTGGCACGTCGTGGACAGCCTTAATCCAAACCAAACCAAAAATAGATGAAAACAAACTCACCCCTTCTCATCATCGTCCATGTCTGGATTCATACGCATAACTTATACTAATTAAAAATAATGGTTGGCACCGGTATTTTTACAACCAAACCACACAAGCACAGACCCACACGAATGATTATGGCGGACCAACCACTTCCGCTTTCTTAAAAAAAAGTCATGGAAAGGAGAAGTAGTCAAAACAAAAACTTATTAACACAAGATTTCGAAACAATTGAAAAAAGTAAATTATGTTTATAATTTTAGTTTAAAAATATTAAGATATATTTTATCCTATACATGTAGTCACTACAATGATCCAAATGAAATGAGGGAATTTTATAAAAGGATGCAACGCCATCAGAATTAGCGAAACTGTTTGGTGACCGCCAGGTGGCAGCACTACAAAAAGTATTGCCGCAGAAAAAAATTTAGTACGAAATAGTTTTTATTGTCAATATTGAAACCTAATGGTAATATTTTAAATGAATTTAAAATACTTGATAAATAAACGTATTCAATGTTTTAGTTACTATAAAATTATATTTAAGAACAATGCGTGTAACAATAACGCCATCTGTATTATCACCCGAATGTAACCATAAAAGCGTAAAAACTATCCACATGATTTGACCTGAAACTTTTAAATGCTGGCTAGATAAAATTGGCCTGGGAGTGAAATATAAATAAATAAAGGAAATTATTTATGTACATACACTTTTTTATCATGGACATGGTCGCTTAGCGATAATATCGTCCCATAAAAAGCTTTACACATAACACATTCATGTTATTTACAATATCTATAACAAACGTTGATAATTTATTATTCGAAATTATAAACTTAAGCTGTTTAACTTTTTGTGATTCATGGAACAGAACTGTTCTTTCTGTTCCGTGTTGTGATTACTTACAACTTTAATATAGTCATAGTGTCTATTCTTTTGTACCGCATATTTTCCAAATTAAATAACTATTAATCCCTTTATATTTTCTAAATCTACAAGTGTTTTTGTGATGTCTCTATTTTTTTTTTTGGTACGTAGAACACAAATAATTTCTTGATTTGTATAATATACAAGTTTATACCTATTTCAATTTGATTGCGTGGATGTTGATTTTACACAAGTGCAAGATTTTTTTTATTTTCTCTATCTAAAAACCTTTTCTGGACTTCTACGAATAATTCAAGACCAAAATTAGCCAAACCGTTAAATCATTGTTGAGTTATAACATTACCTACCACGAAAAGTGGCATTGATTTTTACCTAAATAAATAACCACGAAATACAAGGAAATAATGACAAAATATAAAATTATACGGAATTATTTTATTTAAATAAATAACATTGTATTAATTAATTAAATATTTTTTAAAACATGTTTTATACATACAGGTAGAAAGTCCAATCAACATCGCTCTCAAACATACTGAAGACAGATAAATTCATGGCACGCTTTTCGACTACGAGTAGGAGGTATAAACTAGTACTAGTACTCGTAGTCCTCCTTTAGTCCTCTTAGAGAAGGAGACATCATATATATAAAATAAAGTCGTGTTATTTACACTATTTATAACTCAAGAACGGCTGAACTGGGAGAAGGACATGGGATAGAGTAGGTAGTGTAGGTTAGGTAGAGTAGGGTAGGTAGAGTACGGTAGGTACAGTACGGTAGGGTAGGTAGTGTAGGCTACAAAGAGCGTAGGGTAGGTAGAGTACGGTATGTAGGTAGACTAAGGTAGATAAAGTAGGGTGGGTAGAGTATGGTAGGTAGTCAAATGATGGGAGCGATGCCGTAGGTAAGAGCTAGTTACCTATATACTTGAAATGAAAAAGTCATTGGTAGGTATTTCAAATTACCTACTAGAAAGGTTATTTAAAATCGTAATGTAAAACGGGTGCTGTGGCCACTACGACTGACATTTCTTCCAGTAGCGAAGTGTGAAATGGAAATACAACTTGAATCTGTAAACAAAACAAAGGAAATCTTTCGTATATTAAAATAAGCTAGATTACATTAGCTAGAAAAGGCTAGATTTGCAAAAAATTCTTTTTCGGAACGTAAAATACCTATTGTTTTACATTAATTGGTAGATACCTACCTACCTAACTTTTCGGTGTTCTGGGGGAAGCCCGATAAGGTACCGCGGCCACGGCCTGGACCAGTAGAAGTAACGGTGGGGTTTTTAGTCAGTAATAGTACCTACTTACATATTATATTGTGCAGGCCGGAGCCACGGTACCTTTTTGTGTTTGACCCACAATCCCGTCTGAACATTCGGCTCTGCTGGGCCCCATCAGAGGTGGTCTAGTGGCTCTTTGAAGCTTGGGGTTCTCATACATAGCAATAAGGTGTATGAATGACTACTTAATAAATATTAACCCACCCTAAAAATATACGATATGTGCACCATGGGGTCTTCAATATCCATAGTAGAAGGAATAATATGAGGTATCTCCATATTGAAAAAACATAGCTCAGCTATATTTAGCGAAAACTTTCTGTATTCTGCCTTGCATATTTTTTTTTCCTCATCAGCATAACCTGAATGGACACTATACTTTATTTTCTGGAAGAGAGACAAAGATAATAAATTAGATGTGAAATTTTTTTTTCAAATAAAAAGAATCTTTTGGATTAAAACTTGTTATTGTGGGCTCACCTGTATCAAGGATATGACGATTTTTCGAATTTTTACTTTTTTCTCATTAACTAATGTTATTTCGAAAGGAACAGTTTGTCTGGGGGCGAAAGCTTTATAGGTTTTAATACAAATCGTAAATCTTCCAGAATTCCTAAATGTTTTATGAAACTCATTGAATGTCGGCATCTGAAGATACAAAATACGTTTAATAAATAATTAAAATACTTAGGTTTAAGAATAATATCAAAATAAGTAGGAAGTACTCACTAAGTATTCATCCATATGATTAATATTAACATTACCAAAAACATTGAATGTTGCTAATTTTCTAAGTTTGTAAGCAGGTTTACTTTGTATTTTTACTGTATAAGTTATTTTGGCAACTGAACTTTCAAAAGTTGAAGGTAAATCTGGTGGTAATGCGAAGTGGAAGGGATAATGATGAATACCGGCCGGCAACACGCTCCCTGTAATAATCATCATTTTATGTTACCTAAAACCTCATAATTTCGTTTTGAATGTATAAAATTTTGATCCGTAGTAATAGTACTATTATGCGGTCCTCGTTCCACTTGCTGTTCAAATATAGCCATGTGATAATTTGAGGTTTGACTGCACGGTTGGTGCGGTGGCTGGGCAACTGGCTGCCGTGCAACGTGTCGCGGGTTCGATTCCCGCACGGAACAATTCTTTGTGTGACCCACAAATTGTTGTTCCGGGTCTGGGTGTCATGTGCATGTGAAATTGTATGTATGTAACCGCACCCACGACACAGGAGAAAATCCTAGTGTGGGGCAACGTTTAAAAAAAAAAAAAAAAAAAAAAAAAAAAATGATTTGAGGTAGTCATTAGTAACGTAGTGTAACAATAGATGGGTTGGGGGTAACAGGTAAATGGCACCGGTCCATGGCTATTGAAGCCCTCACCCTAAAATGACAAAAAAATCTAACAAAGAGGCAGTAAAAATTGTTATTCCTTTACTATATTCATTTTGTCATGAGCTCTAAGTGATGGATGTAAGTAGGTGTTGAAAAAGGCGAGTACTCAAGTTGAATATTTATAATATTTTATTAAAATCCTAAGAGGATTTTAATAAAATCGACATCGACACTTGTTCGTGATAAGATTACTTACCAACACTCAAATCCCTGAATATATCAGTCATTAGCAAGCTAAGAACTTTCTTCTTTTCAGAATAAATTTTCATGTACGGCATTGTTGGCATAGGTCTAGTCCAATGGGCTTTACATAATCCAGTTACTTTTAGATCAATGCCTAAAAATTAAATAGTAATTTAAAATAAAGAAAAAATATTATGTTTAAACCATACATTACTACATGCACAAATATGCAAAATACATTAAATGTAGATACGGAATCATTACTTTGAAATTTTTGTTCATTCTTCAATTCCAAAATAACTGTTCCAGTCACAATATCACCCGCATAAAAACTACCAGTGGAATCACTATTAAAGTTTATAGTACATGCCATAGCAAATGTAAATATGATAGAATATTGCGTTCACAACAAAAATAACTTAGCCACTCCGCCTTCTTCAAAATACATAATTATTGCTATCGGCAGCTTGATAACCCCGATATGTATTAGATAACAATGATGACAGATGATAAGCGCTCGTAAATTGGTGGCGATTAATTAGCTTGAGTACAAATTGATTATAATTTTAAACTTTCATAGTATGTACTTACACACATATGTATGAGTATATACCTACATACATACTCGTTGGCTACAAATTACAAAATATATTCTCAAAACTATAACGATTCTCTACCTGCCTACGTTCATCGCAAATTAATATGAATACCATTTTGTAATAAGTTTTAAGGGATTGAGATGATATCACTATAAATAAACACGAATTACGTACGAATACGAAATAGGCATATTAAGTATTATAAATTCACGCCACGATCTTAAGGGAGCGGGCAGAAACTAAATAAGTATGTCTATAAAGTATAAACCAATAGTTAACTAATGATGAAGGAAACATTTTTTGTCCTTTTAACCTAATTTTTTGATTAATTAGTCGATGCATTAAAATCTCATAAGTCTCATAATTATATAATTTATAAAAAGGTCATAAAGCTGCAATTATAGTGGGTGGTAATTAAATCCTTTTAGGCCATGATTTAATTTGTAGAACCTTTAAATTAAATACTTAAAGATTCTACATTCTACTGTAAATTATAAGTGCAAAAAATCACTTGATTCATCATAAATATTTTGTACCTATTCAAAATCTTTTGTTTTTTACGTCCTCGTTTCTGAACGACAAAGTATTTTGACATTGACAGTTAGCTGACATTTAGCAGTATTGAAAATCGGAATTTCTTTCGTGGTGATTTTTCCGATCGGTACCCCTAAACTTATTCTACTCTTTGGATCGGTTCCTCGGCATGATTCGCAATATAACTGTTCGATCGTTTTGTTTAATTGTGCATTGTGTATTTTCATAAAGAAAAAATTGAAATAAATGTGTTCTTCTCCCATTTTTTTCGATAAATGCGTTGTAAAGTAAATTGTGATAGGTTATGTTATGCCCTTTGACTTTTCAGGGTGAAAAGTAAGTTTGTTTGATTTATTTAGTTACAATTATTTATTATAATTCAATGATTGTTATTTCCTAACGTAAATTGTTGAAAACTGTGCAGCGAATTGGCAGGGCGACATTTTTATATTGAGTTTTTTCAAACGTTTTGATTACACAAATTATGTTTCGGTTTTTCTGTAAACTTGAAGTCTATGGCCTCATTTACTTTAAAAACATATAAGTATAGCTAAATGGTTTACTTGTTTACCTTGATAGTACAAGTTAAAATAGTATTATATTATATTATTGGTCTTTTTTGTTGTGTAGATGCCATAGTATCAATTATTTATGAAGTAGGTATATACAGATACATTCACTGCTTAGGAAGAATTTGTATGGGTATACAGTTAAAGAAATACTAATAACTAGATATTTGGGAAAGAGTTATCAAAGCAAAAACAACAATACATAATTTTGTATTTGCTAAATACACCATGCATTTAATTATAATTGTTCTTAGTATGAAAACTTAATAATTGATGTAAATGGTATGATAAAGATTCATTGTATAGCTGCATAATGGTCTTTATACAAAACATTCAATTTATTTACTGTAATTAAATCATCAGTAATAAAGAAGAAACAAACGACAAAAACTCAGAAAATAAACTACCTACATTAATCTTTAGTTCAGGTTTCCATGTTCATTTTAATTGTTTGATATGTATACAAATTTGTGTCTTTGAGAATATTATAATAGGGGTTTCTTCTGCATAGTCATATTTATTTATTTGGTCTTCTAACAGTGAATGCTACACAGTAAATGCTAGATAACATAAAGACACAATAGAAAATGCATTGTGTCTTGTGTAGACCTGCATTCCGGCATTAATACCATGGGTTAAATAAAATTTGTTTATATTGCACCTTATAAAAAGCTTAACTTAGCTAAAAAAGGAAATGTTTATATTAGTAGTTATTGCAAACTAAATTCTATTAAGTATCTAATATTCAGCAATCCATCCAGACTTACAAATTTTGATATTTATGATAGTAGTAGGGTTTATACATCCGTGTATGTGGTAACATAAGTCATAAGAAGGTCTCAAGGAGATCTAAATTTTAAATTGACTTGTAATTAATTACTTTTATTTCAAGTTTTTCCACATGGTTTTTTTTTTAATATTTTTCTCTGTAGTTTTTATTAGAATTATTCTGTGAAAAACTGACTATAAATTCTGTTTTATTAAAGGTAATCACCACAACAATGGACCCAAACATCTATGCACTGGTCCTTGACACATTAAATCGTGCCACCAGCCAGGACACAGAGGTTTTGAAACCTGCTGAGAAGAAACTTCAAGAATGGGAGGTGGAACCTGGCTTTTATTCTGTTCTCCTAGTAAGTAATGAACCTAAATAATTATATACTTGTATTTATCCTTTCTATATTAGTGTGTAGTCCCTACGTGAGACCGTGAGACCTATATGAGACAGAATACCAGTGATTTTTTGTCAGTCCTTAAAGAACCTGGCAGGTTGCTTCATTTTCTCAGTCATTAAGTTTTCTGTGTATTGTTTTTCTAAAATGTATTTTTACTCAAGAAGGTTCATAGTTCATAAAGAAAAAGATGAAGTTGATAGTGATTCTCTAGTCAGTCTCCAAGAAATCATATAAAAGCATTGTTTTTATAATACATACTAATATGTCATATACATGGTATTAAATGTATAATACTTGTAATCTTATAATTCACAAACGAAAACATATCCAAGAATCAAGAGTCTGTTTCTTCACAGAATGTCCTATCAAACCACTCGATAGATGGAAATGTCCGGTGGTTGGCAGTCATGTGTTTCAAAAACGGTGTTGACCGTTTCTGGAGAAAGACTGCTCCTAATGCCATCACAGAGGACGAGAAAGTGAAGTTAAGGCAGGGTCTCCTCACGACAAATATCTTGAGTGAACCTGTAGCTCAGATCGCTACACAGCTTGCAGTTCTCATATCAAAAATTGCTAGGTAAGTGGTATAGTACTTAATTTAGTACTTACATCTATTTTTTTATGCCTATCTGAAGTTCCAATCATCTTACAAGGGAAGATTTGTTAAGCAGTTGAACCTGTCATTGCATATTTCAAGAAGTCTATTTTTGCATTTCTAAAAATATATGTATATCTTAATATGACTAAAATTATATCAATATAACGTTGTTTACTTTATTATCGGGGAGAGTATGGTCATTTGTTGTATCTTACTGACCACCTTCTCTCAGATGTGTTTGTTGCCATGCCATTGACCTATAAGTGTTTGGAAAAGTACACCAGTCCTTAAATACACATTTGTGTAGTGCATTATAAAATCAACACTTAATCTAGGTGATACTTAAGCCTTGAGCCACGGATATTCAATCAAAATAACATTATCATGGTAAAACTACTAGTAACTTTATTCATCATATGCTTCAGGTTTGACTGTCCAACAAACTGGCCGGACTTGGTTCCTGAGTTAATGGGTGCATTGAAGGCTCCCCAGCCCCTAATGCAGCACCGGTCTCTATTGATCTTCCATCATGTTGTAAAAGCATTAGCTTCTAAAAGGCTTGTCGACGAGCGACGTACATTCCAGGTTTGTACCTTTAATTGCTAGGGCATGGTAGCCAAGCCGGCGGTTGATATAATTCATTTGCTATTATGTTTCCTTAATCTAATCCAATCACATACTTTAGTGAGCGACAGCCCGACAGCAAATTACGTGTTTTTTGTACTACTTTGGTTTCCTTTACATTTAATACACATGATATTAAAACTGTTTCTTATTTTGAATAGAATAGGAATGTAGGTACAGAGATAAGCAATAAAAATTATTTGCTAGTCACAATAAAGGAAATGACGTCAAAGCAATGCATTGCTTCCTTTAAGTAACTGTCAAATAATTGGGTATTTCCCTAGGTCGAAAATAAATTAATTCGACGTTTTAATACGATAAAATATTGAAAAATAACTATACTTTTATTCATCGATCGATCGATACACTAAGTTTTAGATATTTTTTAGCTATTTTTTTAAAAATAAGTACGCTATTTGACGCAAAAATGCTATGACGTTATAATTCAATGTTTCATACAATTTTCATAGAAAAGTATCGTTTTTGACATTTGGATAAAAGTATTAAATTTGACTAGTTGGAATCAAATGAATTTTATTGAAGTTATTATATCAATCTCTGCAACCTGCTATGATAGATTTGGTTTTAGTTTGAATATAATCGATTATTAAACTACCTAAGTTGCAGATTACAAAAACGTATAATTATTACAGGAATTAACAAACACAGTATACGCATTCATCTTAAACCTTTGGCATGAGAACACGGAATTATTCCTCCGACATATACAAGAGGGAGCTGCCACAGAGCTCATAACAGAACACTTGGAGAAGGCGCTCCTCTGTCTCAGGATATTAAGGAAACTGACAGTATTTGGGTTTAAAAAGACACATGATAGCCAGGATGCTATGGCGTTCTTGAATGTCGTTTTTGACCGTGCTAAGACTAGTTTGGAATGCAGTAAGTACATTGAATCAAGATTTTTATTCTTCAAGGAAGTAGATAGGCTTAGGCTAGGATTATGATATATATTATATCATATTAGATTATAATATATTACGCATTTGAGTTATAATGAAGGATATTCTATTGTCAAAGGTCAGACGATTATAGACTGTAAGTAGTTGCTGAGAATCTGAAATCGAAAAACTTGCGTGTTATGCCCATTTTGTTTGATGAAAGCTGCATATAACCAATGTTCTTAGTCATCACAAGCTAATAATATTTTAAAGAATTGGTGCATTTGAAGGTATTTTTACATTAAAACCGAAAATTAAAACATATTTGAACTAAAATTTCCGTTTCACTTATCAAAATCTTTTTTAAGTGTTCCTTTTATTCTTTCAGGGAAATTATTAAAAGGCAGAGGTATATATCCTTTGGAGTTGTGCGAAAAATTCATTATACACCTTACCAAGGTGGCTTTAGGGGTGTTATCTGCACAGCCATTCTCCTATGTACCACTGATTAGGCCGTCTTTAGAGTTCGCCCTGTATTACTGTTTCACTGAACAAGGAATGGCCCTCATATACGAAAGGTTCACTATTCAGTGCCTGAATATTGTAAAGGGTATTCTTCAGTGTATGGAGTATAAGCCACCTAAGGTCAAGGAAGCATGTAAGTACTATACCCACTTAATAGTTTTTTTTTTTTATGTGATAGGACGGCAAACGAGCATACGGATTACCTGATGGTAAGCAATCAGCGTCGCCCATGGACACCCGCAATAAAGAAGGAGTTACGAGTACGCTGCCGACCTTTTAGGGATTGGGATTTTGGGGATTCAGGGATTGGGAAGGGATTGGGGTAGGGGAAGGATTGGGCCTCCGGTAACCTCACTCACGCGGCGAAACACAACGTTGTGGTTGTTTCACGCCGGTTTTCTGTGAGGCCGTGGTATAACTCCGGTCGAGCCGACCCATACGTGCCGAAGCATGGCTCTCCCACACTTAAAATATATATCTATTTCTTATTACACACACACACACACACAATAATATATGAATATAACATGTTATTATGTATAATGTTTTAGTGATCAGCATAGATTTAGTACTAGACTAGGTAATAAGATGACTGGAAGCCTCTCTAACCTCTTTATGCTGTGTCCTGCCGGATTCATATTATTGTTTCTAATATATTGTTATTTATTATTTATTTATTTATTTATTATTGCTTAAAAGGTACATTTTACATTATAAAAAGTATAAAATGTTCAACAAAACTGTATACACAGTTTGTCTGTTGGATCAGATTTCAAAAACTAACTTAATAGAACCTATTGTTGTAACTTTTTACAAAAATACCACCTGTATAACATATGCAATGCTAAGGATTCGACTCCTTTGACAAAATGTGTTTCGAGAAGGACTTGATTTTCATTAAGGCCCCGTGAATGGTCTGCTCCATTGCAGGTTGGATTGTCGCTTTCATCCAGGCGAAGGCAAAACAAAATTATTACCCATGTTTAATGGTTTCCAGTGACGCTCCAAGCCCACCAGGTAAAGATGGAAGTGTTAGACCCGAACACGCTCTGCCATATGTGCAGACACCTGGTCTCCCACTATTTCCTGCTCAGTGCTGACGACCTGGCACTCTGGGACGCCGAGCCAGAGAGCTTCGCCACCGACGAGGCGGGCGAATCCTGGAAATATAGTTTGCGGGTGAGTTTTGTTTAGTTAAGAGAAGATGAAAGATTTTATGGCCCATAGTAGAATTATAATATTATTTTCCAACTGGTCAAAATCATTACTTTTTTTTAATTAAGTGGGATAGACTGGCTGGCTGGCTTCATCTAGTTTTTTATAAAAAATAATTTTGACTTGTAAATTCCGGTTTATAGTCTATTTGCTAAAATAAATTCATTGTTTCATTGTTTCAGTGAAGCTATTACGTCATATCAATCTTATTTCTTTTATTAGTTAGAAAGATATGAAAACTAACGTCAAATCAATGATTTTGTGTACTTTTTTAAATTGAAAGTTTGTCATGCTTATATAAAATGTGTATCTTTCTCCTAAATAATTCTGTACTCTTTTTTTCAGCCTTGCACAGAAGCATTATTCTCGGAACTGTTCCAGTTCAGGAGCGTATTAGCTCCGGAGTTGGTACGAATGTTAGCAGACTTGCAGACTCAGCAGATCTCACCCGACGACCTTCCTGGCATACTAAAGAAGGATGCTGTTTACAACGCCGTCGGATTGGCTGCCTTCGATTTATATGACGATGTGAGTATTTTTTAAATAGTTTTTTAGGTAAAAAGCTGAATCATGTCTGTTAACTAAGAATTAGCAATTGATCTTAGCGTCTAACTTTCTTTAATGATGTCTTGTATGCCAATCCTAGAGTATTTTTCGGCTACGTAGCAAGAGTTCATACTCTTTTCCTTGGTTTCCCTCAGGTCGACTTCGACGAATGGTTCACGAATGTATTAAGTCAAGAATTAAAAATTAAGGATAACAACTATAGAATAATACGAAGGAGAGTTTGTCAACTAATTGGTAAGTTCTCATATATTTTGATTGCCGCATTGATTGCTACAAGATTAGATGGATATTTTTTTTATGTGTACAATTGGGTAGTTTCCTAGGTCAAAAATAAATTAATTCGACGTTTTAATACGATAAAATATTGAAAAATAACTATACTTTTATTCATCGATCGATCGATACACTAAGTTTTAGATATTTTTTAGCTAATTTTTTAAAAATAAGTAAGCTATTTGACGCAAAAATGCTATGACGTCATAATTCAATGTTTCATACAATTTTCATAGAAAAGTATCGTTTTTGACATTTGGATAAAAGTATTGAATTTGACTAGTTGGAAACAACCGTATTCATGTCAGGTCAATGGTGTGGTGTTCGTGCGTCACAGTCATTGAGGCCCGCAATGTACGCTGCCCTATTAGAGCCTCTCAGTAGGCCGGACGAGGATGCCGCAGTAAAGCTTGCAGCGGCTGAGGCATTGAGGAGTACTATCGACGACTTTAACTTCGACGTTGAACAATTTGCACCGTTCGCTCCGCATGCGATCGCTGCGCTCTATGAGCTCCTGGTATGTGTACATTATTTTGAACTGTTCAATTTTTCTTAAGAATTAAAGTTTCATTGCTGATTTACCTTATATCTTAAATTGTTGTTGTTGGAAGTACATAATATATATTCAGGATAGCTTTACTTATCCCCTATCGCAAAACAAGATTTATATTACGTCTACATTTAAACCTTTGAGTCAGGTTTTGAATTTTGAGTCTTATTCTCACGTACCTTCAATTCGAAATAAAAAAACTGGCACAATGGTTAAGACCTAGACTAAAGAAAAAGCTTGTTTTGTAATAAGGCCGTTTTATTTAAATGGTAAAGTAGTAAAGAATTTCATGTTTCTTGTGTGCAGTTGTTTTATGAATGCCTAGTAACTGACGTCACAGTAGGTTAAAGTTTAATCAAGGAACAGGTCTTTTCTCATTGTTGAATGATGTGTATTCGTGTGTAGGTGGAGTCTGAAGAGATGGACACGAAGATGCACGTGCTGCACGTGGTGTCGTTCGTGACGGAGCGCATGGGGGGCCGCGTGGCGCGCGGCGGCGCGGCGCAGCTGTTCGCGTACCTGCCGCAGCTGTGGGCCCACGCCACCGCCGCCTCGCACAACATGCTGCGCGCCGCCGCGCTCGCCGCGCTCGTACATCTGCTCAAGGTACTGCTCGCACACCTATTCGTAGTTATGCTCTCCTGGTACTTTTTATGTCAGGGGAATATCATCAAATGACTTCTCCCGCTCAGGTTAAGGCTAATATCATCTAATATCATCAAATTACTCCCGCGGGAGAGGGTGTCACTCTTAATGACTAAACCCCCTCCCGTTCCTTCTCCTGCTTTAGCGCTTACCCCGCTACCCTGACGCTCTCCTCGTACCTGGCGTAACTATATGCGTAATATTTCTGACTAAAAACACTATTTAATAGTGTTTGATATGTTTTTTCCTATGTGTGCAGTTAGATGATTACTTTGATTAGATAAGTTCCGTTAGTAAAAAATATTTTCGAAACACTCCAAAAAACAAAGATCTTTGAAGACTGCCTAAGCGAAGATATGACAAGATTGAGCAAAATTGCTCTAAATATCAAAATTGCTCCCTGATGATTTCTGTCATCCTCGCAACAGGCTTTAGGGGAATGCCCGCCAAACATTCGACCTTGGATCCTAAGCGTAGTGAACGAGTCTACCAAGCTGACAGAGCCGGCGCACGTGTACCTGCTGGAGGATGCCCTGGAACTATGGCTCGCTATACTGGAGACCTCACAAGCAGCTGACCCCGTCACACTGCAGCTCGCCGAGAATTTGTGCCCTATATTAGGTATGTATATTTTTCACGATTTTTAAAACTCTAGATAAGAAAATGAGTGCAGAATTTCAGATTATTTTTGATATAATGAAGCACTTGATGCAAATCTTATGTTAAAATCGCAATTTGCTTTAGAAACAATAAAATAATTGAAAATAAATATATACGACCATATTTATTGCAGAACAATCATCTGAACACCTAAGGATAGTAGTGTACATAATGCAAGCCTACACTCTCCTATGTCCTGAGGAGTTCCTCTCAGGGCCGGGAGGGAAGTGCATGGCTCTTCTAGAGGATATGCTGAGTGACATGAGGACTGAGGGCATCATCACAGTGCTGAAGATGGCCGAGATCTGCATCAGTGTCAGTTTTCCCGAGAGAAATGCCTTCTTGGGAGTCAAGGTCATCTGGCCTATACTTATTAGAGTTATACAGTGAGTAAATAGAAATATAATGTATTTGGCTTTATACTATATATTGCTGTCTTAGAGCAGTCTTTCTGAAAGTGGGTGATGAAGGCATCTTGGGGGGCAGTAAGACAGCCAGAAAAACAATCGGCGTGTTGTAGAGGCGATTTGTTATTTCGTAGGATACCTTTATGGAGAGAAAGCCATCAAATGGCTTCTTTCGCCCTATATGGGTTATTAGGGAGTGTCACTTACTGACCAAAAACCATCTCGTTCCTTCTTCTGCTCCGGGCTGGATAAGATACCTACCCTCTTATTATATCTTTATTCCTTAAGAAGGAGACGTTTTTTAAGGGATGGTAGCCAATTATTTACATTTGATTTAGAGTATTTACAAAAAATATATGTTTAAAACATATTTTACATGTAAATAGGTTGTAGTTATAAATGAGTGTGACCAACAAATCTGCCATTCGCCTCTCAATAGGCTTAAGGACCCCGTTACCTTAAAAAATCGATCATTCGCGTTACATTATATAAGTTCCGCAAGTTATTTCCCACTGCCATATCGAAGTCATTGAAGTCTTTATAATTATGATTTTAACATATAATACTAAACAGTCGAAACGTTTCTTCTGCAGCTGGCTACTCGAAGGAGATGAGCTGCCAATAGTGTTATCAGTGCAGCTATGTCTCGTGTCCCGTGTTATCCTGTTATCGACAGACCTGTTCTACAAGGCTATACAGGAGGCCTCCACCGTAGTCGCTGAGTACGACTCAGACCCCGCCAAGTTGCTGAACAAGTTCCTACATGTTTGGACTGAGAAAATGAACCTCGTTACGCAAGTTGAGAGGTGGAAAGTGGTTGGTAAGTACTGATAGTGTCTAATTTATCTATTTTTTTTCTTGTCTCACCAACTGTGTGCATAAATTGTTTAACAAATGAATAGCAGTTCCTGAGATAAGCGCAAACAAATTCTTAACCTTTAAAATAAGTATCTTTTTTGACCGCTTCATGAAAATGAGGATTGTGATAAAGTAAAAATATTCTAAAATAGATAGAGAAGATGATATGATTTTAATTTTGGACCTATTCATGGTATTTGGTCGAGTCACGCGGACAGTGTTCTTTAATTTTACTTATTTTTTCGTGTCAATAAGGTCCGCATTATGTTCTATTCATACGTATTAACACGTAAATATTGACTATTATTTTTGTTAACAGGCCTAGGTCTAGCAGCTTTGTTGACGACTCAGAATGCCACGGTTTTACAGCGGTTTCCCGCAATTCTGCTTAACCTGGCCGAGGTTCTTAACGACGTCATGAAGGCTGAGGATAACGGCGGGTACATCGAGTAAGTACACAATTATTTATGCCATTTTAAGTTCTTTTTGATTACTAAACATAATGATGAATGGATTTTAATTTAGGTAATTTAATTTTAATTTTATACAGTTATTATAATTATGTACAGATATTTTCGATTCCACCCATAAACAACAGGCGACCACTTTAAAATTTTAATATTACTAGTTTATCTGGCGAGCCTGAAAAAGTAATAGTAATGACAGTTTTCTCTCTTGTCAAATATTGAATGTCACTTACCACCAAGCAGTTTTTATAGGGAAGAAAATTGTCGTGTAAGTATTTTATACGTATATATATGTATTTTTTTACGCACAGTATTAGTTCAGTCGGTCTATCCGCTTCAGAGGTTTCAAAATAAACCTTATTTTTCAAGTTTAAAACTTAGTAATATCGGTTAGTTTTCTCTGTAGCAAGTACTAAACTCTTGCGCGGTTTCACCCACTGCTTGGCTCCATTTAATCGTAGCGTGATGTTTTTATAGCCTGTAGCTCTCAGGAATATTGTAGTTATGTATCAGTGAAAGAATTCGAGGGTTGAATAGACACAGAAGAGTGGTAAATAGATACTAGGAAAATTCTAACTTCTGTTCACCATTTCGTGTATCTAATCACCCCTCAAATTGCATTCAATCCGTTTTACGGTACGTATTTTATTTATACCGTATTTTATTTTTATCAGTGGTCTACTGGCTCCCCCGGGGTCTCGTCCGGCTTCCCCGCTGGAGGGGCGCGGGGGCGCGGCGCGGTGGGGCGAGGCGGGCGCGGGGGGCGCGGGGGGCGCGGGGGGCGCGGAGTGCCCGCACGAGGTGCGGCGGCGCGCGCTGCTGGCGGCGCACCCCGCGCACACCATCGACCTGCGCGCCGTCACACACATACAGGTACACATTGTATCGCTTAAACATATACAGCCTTATTACAAAACAAAGCTTTTCTTTAGTCTATGGCTAAACCATTGAGCCAGTTTTTGTATTTCGAATTGAAGGTAGGTTATAATAAGATTCAAAATACAAAACTTAATTCAATGGTTTAAACGGAAAGAACGGGGGTCTTGGTCAATAAAAGTCTGACAGTCCCTCTCGCCCAATCTTGGACAATTTTCCAGCCATGTGATGATTTCCCCTCACAAAAAACCACAAAAATTTTCTCCTGTGTCGTAGTTGCATTCATATGTAGGTATATGTATACAATTTTATACACATTTGACACCAAGACCCGGTATATTTGTAAGTCACCCAAAGAGTTATTCCGTGCGGGAAACGTTGCACGACAGCCGATTGCCCAGTTACCGCGACAACTGTGTGGTAAGCGTGGGAGAGCCGTACTTCGGCACGAAAGGGCCGGCTCGACCGGAGTGATTACACGGCCTCACAGAATACCAACATAAAGCAACATTTACGTTGTGTTACAAACAACAACACTTACTGTTTCGCCGTGCAAGTGAGGTTGCCGGAGGCCCCATCCTTCCAACCCCCCATCCTCAATCCTTAAATCTCCTAATCTGAAATCTCTTATACTATTTCGCAGTAAAAGTGTACGAATTGCATCCGACTAACATTGTATTAAACGATAAAATAATCAAGGTGTCCTATAAAATTTTGTATAATTAAATATTATGATACTTTTGTGACGCAGTTACACTACTTAAACTTGGAGTTCTTTTATTATATTTACCCTTCTCAAGAACAACCCAAATACAACCTTATGTAACAAATCATAAAATACTATTTCAGTTGGAGACGTTGAAGAACCAGGTAGGCGCTGAGACATTCGACCGTCTGATACAATCCACGGACAGGGAGACACTACAGCAGATAAGGGAATACATACCGCTCTGAATATACATGTAGTAATCTAATTATATCTTATACAAGCACACCAAGATATCCTTTATTTCTTTACTCGATTCTCAACCGTAACGACGCTGTTTTAAGGTTGATTTTTTTGACTAAGGTGAATCTTTAATTTACGATGTTCACAATAAAATAGGGCTCTTATTCTCCTTCTCGCTTATCCTTTAAATGGGGGAGCGAGAGGGCATGAGCTGTCTTCTGGTATCATGCAGCTAGTTCTAATAGACCGCTTCTGTTCATCTTGCTTATTTTTAGGATTGTTCAGCAAAATAAACCTTATATCTATGAAAATACTATTGGTTTTGCCAAAACTGGGATATGCTTTGTTAGTTTATTTTCAACTTTTAATAAACTTTATTTTAATGGTATTTAAATAATAAATATGTGTATATGTGATATAACTACACTGTAGTGATTGTTAATATAACACACTTGGGTAGATGCCAACAGGTCAAGCTATCAGAAAACCTCAAATAGATAAATAGATTCAACCTTTATTACAAAAATATAAAATTGAAATTCAAAAAACAAGTTATTTATTCGTTTAATGCTGGGGTCTGTATATCCTTTGTCTTTATAAACATTTTGTTCAATTCTTATAGTAATAAAATGGCACTTATAAGTTCACTATACTGTTAAAATATTTTTTTAAATCTGTAAAAATATGCACTTATTATTAAACATAAGGCTTATTTTAATATTAAAATTAAAACCTGTAATATTTTTTTTGAAATATAAGAACAATCGAACGCTAATGTACTGAGTTATACGTACCCTTATTATCACGATGTAGTGTTGGCATGTCAATGAAATTGTAAAATATCGATAAAATAATAATAATTACAAAAATCTTCGTAATTTATTTCTTTTACTAAATACAACGTTGTTGATAACGTAAACAAATATTTGGTAATGATGAAATTAATATGACCATCGTAATTTTTATCATGAAATTCATCGAAAATTTTAAATGCATGCATGGTTCCTAAGAATGTAAGAAAAAGCTTCTAATTAAATAATGTCTACCTATTGTAAATTGCTACCTAGTATTGTGTAAATTAAATACGTAATGATTTATTTCAATTTCTAAGCAATTTGCGAAATTATCGATAAATAAATGTACTACACTAGTAAGTGTTCGAGCGCATTTAAATTTTTTAATAAAATTCTGTAAAAATAAAAGAGTTTTTTGAATAATAATGGCCTTTAAAAACTACTTTATTATTAATGAATTGATAAAGTTAAAAAATAAAATAAAAAATGTAACGAAATTTTAGTCGATAGATCTATATGTTTAATCTTAAAATTAATTAATATTATTTTGCTAAGCTTAAGGAAGTGTGTGTATACGAAAACTGTTGATATATTAATAAATGGCGATCTGTGGTTATTTTCTTGCAAAATAAATAAAATATAAATAAACGAAATATTTATTTGACTATTTGGCAATCCTGACAAGACTTTAGATGTCTGTTATTGTAGATCAATAGCTTTTTTAGCCTGCTAATGTATTCATATATTTTGCAAAATATTTCAAAAGTGCCCCTTATACAGATTACCTAGTTGGAAGAAATTATTTTGACCCGGGTTAACTTCAAACTTGCCATTTACTTAAACGTTTATTCTGTTAATTCTACTTCTGCGGCTAATTATGCTAATTGTCTACAAGAAAATAAACTGCAAATCATGTATTTATAACCACAAAACTTGCCATATAGTACGGATCTTAAGGGCATGGTTACATTAATGAGAAAATTTCAAATTAAGGTCAAATTCAATTATGTGGTTGTTGAGTTTTTTTATATAAATGTAACAATGTCCTAGCGACTGTATATTATGTATGTACTATGTACGGAGACGTTTCGATTCCATGTGTGTGATTGTATGATATAAATAATAAATATTATATACTGATGCATATTTTTTTAACACTCGCTTAGAATTAGCTTGTACAGGATGTTGGAAAAACAAGACGTTTCATTTTGCTTTTGGACGGTTGTTTTATTCGCTAGCTTCTAAAAATGGTCGATACAGACATTATTATAATATAGTTCATCCAATTTCTTAGTACATCTTAAATAATTATTTTAAGTATTTTTGTGGTTTTTTTTAAAGAAATTATTTATTTCATTCGCATAAAGCACCTCAATTAAATCAATTTGGCTAATACCAATCGTCCTAGGAATTAACTGCCTATACATTTTTTCTCGCTAGTATAAAAACTTTTTACTAGAGATTGTGTAGATAATGTGGTAAAGCATTTTCTATCTTATTGTAACTTAAATGAAGTTGATAATCAGACAGACGAAGTTAGCATCGAATTCTTTGACGTACATGAGCACGTTGTTAATATTTTCTTTAACTCTTTACTCTTATTGGAGTCTGTGTTCCTGGTACACAAATATATTTAATAGCGGTAAGTTAGTTTATAAGTTGTATGAAAGTAAACCACAAATAGCTGACACATATATACTTTGCAGATTTTTTAAATAAAATGAATGCCTGATTTATTATATGTATTATAATCATCTTGTCTTCGGCACTTTAAGAAATTTTAAAATAAAAACGTTTGAATGGAAACGTTAAAATAAATAAAACCACTGTAGCGTTACCTACGTTGAACTAACCATGTGCTAAAATTAAATAACTTTCGATTTAAGGAACTCAGGAAAACTATTGTCTGCAATATAAATAAATAAATCTATTGAGACTTCTTTCTAGGATAGACCTTCTAGAACGACCTAGTACCGCTCTAGAGCTCGTACGACGCAATGACTGTCCCTGTTGTTAGACCTAACACTAATTATAGACGAATAAATTGTTTTACAATGTGATATTCTAGTTTTATTCAATATACTTTTATAAACAAAATCCTAATCAGTGAAATTTAATATAAGAATGGATTTTTATTGCTCTTTCGCTCTCCGCCTCCTCCTTTGAAGAAAGAGAAGACGGCTTTTAGGTTCCTCTCGCTCCAGACAACGCCGGACGCGAAAGGTCGCCGCCGCGCCGATCACTTCCCTGAGGACACGGCGGTGCTTAGCAAACCACCGTATGTTTCACGGTGTCCTCCGGGTGGTCCTTACTTACTGTTATGAAAGCCGGGCGTTTCCTCACACGGGATCCGAAACAGGTGCTTCCCGAAACTGCCGGGAGCGGTAAGCACCTGTTTGCGGAAAACAGACATACATTATCATAGCCTGGAATAATACCTACATAAACTTTACACTGGAAACAGGAGCCAAGCCACTGGCAGAAGTAAGTATAAAATCTCGATGTGTGTATCTTTTGAAGAAATACAAAGTCATACTAGGTACTGAAAGTGATACTCATGTCTCATTGAACAAATTTCTATTTTATTAGATTTTTTTAAATTGATAAAAACAAAATAATAGCTGCATATATTATAATTTCTATCATCAAAAGAATCAAAGAATTAATCTTGATCTTGCCCGACGAGTCGAGACATGAAAACAACATAGGTACGTTTATAAAAGACGACATAGAGCAGCTATTTTTTTTTATGTAATAGATCGGCAAACAAACAGACGGATTACCTGATGGTAAGTAATCAGCACTGCCTATGGACACCCGCAACGGAGGAGTTACGAGTGCTTTGCCGACCTTTCAGTTATTAGGGATTGAGGAGGGATTGGAGGTGGGGAAGGATTGGGCCTCCGGTAACCTCACTCACACGGCAAAACACAACGCTGTGGTTGTTTCACGCCGGTTTTCTGTGAGGCCGTGGTATCACTCCGGTCGAGCCGACCCATTCGTGTCGAAGCATGGCTCTCTCACACTTATAATTTTCAACGAAATAATCGTTTCTTTTTGCAATTCGCAGAATTAATAAAACACAAAATAAATAATATACTCACGTGTAAATTCTATAAAGAAAGTATTCTATTATTGCAAAACCTACCCAACATTTACGAAACTCTAGCAAAACATAAAATGTTAGATTTGTTACATTTTCTAGCTTAGATCTTGAGAAAAATCTTGCATCAAACTAGCTTAGTTTATTCGGTCGGCGGGATCTGAAGTCTAGTCGAGGGCTGGCAACCTAATGGCGATGCATTTTAAAGGCGGAACCTATGTACGTTGGCAGCGAGCCACGGCCTCAAAGTTGGGTAAATCAGGACTTTCGAAAATTGATTCGGAGTTAGCTGATTGAAGTAAGTATATACCTACCTACTGTAGGTCTAATATTTTGTAGTGATACCGTAATTGTATAGTACATAAATATAAACCTGCATGAGGGCGCGGCTTCGGAACCTGACAAGAACCTATCAATGTGACTATGTTCGAGTGACATACGGTGAAGGAAGAAATCTTGAGGAAACCTTTTTTTGGCAGGGGATAACCATCAAGTGACCTCTCCCGCGCAGGGTAAGGCGAAAGAGAGTGTCAGACTCTTAGTGACTAAACCCTCCCCGTTCCTTCTCCTGCTCTGGGCCGAGGCCGCGGTGACTCATTGCACTTACCCCACAACCCCGGCTGAACATCAGCCCCATAGGGCCCCGTCTGTGGTGGTCTATTGGCTCTTTGAGGCACGCGCGGAACGCTATGTGCCGTCCGCTCGGGTCTGGATCACAGACTCGCGCTTATGGTGGCCGGAGATCGTCTCTCGATCCCCGACGCCCGGAATGTTGCCTACTGCGGCGGCTGGGGCGTGAGGAGGATAGTTCCCTTACGCGCTTCTCCTCCTTTGTGAGCATCACTGCTTCGCATTTCTTGACGAAACCTGACTTATAATTTCTAATTAAAGACTTGAGTGCCTTGAGTGGCTATAAATGTGGTGATTAGGTAATGCTCAAACCTTCTCCGTGAAAGAAGAGGCCTTTTCTCAGCAGTAAGCACTTATAGGATGATGATTGTAATGTGTCTGTCCTGTCTCTTCAATCCCTCTACCTATAAAAAAAAACAAAACACCGCATCAAAATCTGTTTCGTTAAAAGATCGTTAAAAGATTTAAGTATAAAGATATAGAAAAACAATTGTTTTATACTATGTAGTGATAAGCTCACGTCTTTGTATCGTGGAAGGTAGTAAAGAACTATGTTCCTTATTAAAAGTTAAGTCTAGGTATCTATACATATCTATAGGTACCTACATCTGGTAGAAGTATCACGACCATCCTCTGAGTTCTTACATTTTGTATCTAATAGGTAAGTTTAATATTCTCAACATTTCCAAATTAAAATATATAAGCGTATCACTACATATCTAGCTTAGCATAAAACAAAGTCGTTTTCTATGTCCCTATATCCTTATTTATGTACATGCTTAAATATTTAAAACTACGCAATGAATTTGGATGCATTGTTTTTAATAGTGAGTGATTGATGAAAGTCCGCGGTTCCTCATTGCGCTTGCCCCGCAACCCTGGCTGATTATGTTTAACGGCTCTAACTGAACTATTTGACTAAACACTCGACTTGCTTCAAGCCGCGCCAGGGGCTCATATTTGTTCGCCATAATTATATGAAGTTTTATGTAGGTATAATAACATCTGTTGAATAGTCGAGAAATTTACTATCAGCATTATTCAACAAGACACAAGTGACAACAGAAAAAATATTAAAAACATATCCTTGTTCGAATTTATTTATGGTAAACTTTTATTAAACGGTTAGCAATTTGAAAAACGTAAGGAATTTAACCTTGTCACATTATTTTCACGTGTGTGGTAATCAAAACCTCGTTGTCGTATCATGGAGGTACCTTTAGCTCCGTGTTATCTGCAGCTGGGTGTTCGCCAACCACTAGAATATGTCAGGTTAGGAGTAACGACTGTGTTACCAAGACTTAGGTACAAGAACTGGGTGTTGGTTTTTGCTTTTGTATTTATTTATGAATCTTAGTGCCTAACATTATTTGTAGGTACGTAGATCCTCTGATTATTCTTTTTTCATATGGCTTAAGTTTAAATAGTTTATTATAACGGGTAGGTGGCCAACCAGCCGTTTTCATTGAGAACTCATTGAGAAGGCGTAGGTACCAATTAACATCATGAAGACTCTGTGGTAGGCACTTTAATATCGAAAGAGGTGATGTGAGTTCATGGCAGGCAACTCAATTCTATCACATAAAAAATGAAGACAAAATTATTTTTCTTTGCGATGTTTAAAATACCAACAGATATTTCAGTAAAAATACTCTTTCTATTTTTCGACACAATTTACTGATGACTACGAAAAGTTTCATCTCTACTCCTCGCTATATGGCTTTCCGAAGCCTTGATACGGTCAACACAGTGCCGATGAATAATAACAACATATTTATCAGACCGCTCACATTAATCACCAAATGATATTTATTTCAAGGGTTCGTTACGCGCCGGCTAATTGCCGCGTCCCCGGACCGGCTTCCGTCCATAAATTATTATGCGGCGCAAGTAGTGGGGGCTTAGCGAATACTGTTTTTGATTCCTGATTGCTGCTTATGAACGTTGACTCTATCAATTGATAGATAAGAATTTGCGACGGTCATTCCTTGAGTGGAATAAAATTGATGAGTTTGTTTCTATTGCTTATAATGTTTCACATGACTTATGACATGGATTCGTATTCTTTTAAAGTTATTGTATTGGTCTGGTTTTGTTATATTAATTCTTATACTTATAAGAACTTCTTTCTACATCAAAAGGCATATGTTTATGTTTTGATGCCAATAAATCCGATGGTATCTAATCGTATTTAAAATCGCTCTCTTTTTAATACCGCTGCAACCACATCTTATGGCACACACCCCCGCGACAGCTCCAGGCTCTCGTGTTGCCGACGCCATTAGTTTTGTTTCTTGCAGACTACTCCCGGATAACCGGGACTTTCTCAAGAATAAATTAGTTAATGAACCGGAGGAATATTACTCTACTGGTTGCGCAGTGGTTATTTGATAAAGGTGTCGTTATTTATGCGCCTTTGGACCCATGTTATATTATGGCAGCCAGGTTTGAGTAACTCAATAAGTTTGGCGCGTGCGGTGCGGCGTGTGTAATCGCTGAG